AGCGTCGATTTTCGCGACTTGAGGGCGTCGATTGGTCGCGATTAAAGGGGTTTGTCGCGCCGCTGAGCACTCCACGAGGCAAGGCAAGCTGGATTTTTCAACACGGCTGGCGTGTCTGGAAGGAGGGTACTCACCACCCAGATGAGTTGTACTTTGTGTGCAAGTACTGTCATATTCATAAGCTACCTAATGGTGTACACCGAGTAACGAAGTCAACCACTGCCGCCAACGGGCACCTCCAGCTTGATAAACCTGGTCATCGGCTCAGCAAAGACGGTCCAATCCTAAGCAAACCTCTCCGCAAACATGGACAACAATCACTTCGTCAGGCAGCTCTAAGCGGTGTCAAATTTAGTCTAGAGGCGTACAAGACTATAGGAAACTTCGACGTACAAGAATTTCGGCAAGCAGCTGCGCTCTGGCTGGTCGACAACAACAGACCACTCCGCGAGTTTGAGACGCCGGCTTTTCGCAAGATGATCAGGCTTGCTAATCCTGAGGCAGAGGCGGCGTTATGGAGGTCTCATAACAGCGTGTCAGCGTTCGTGATGAGGTTGTACAGTTGGCTACGACCTCAGGTGGTGCGCGCGTTGGCTGAAGCCGAGAGCAAGGTACATATAAGCTTCGATGGGTGGACGACAAAAGGCGGCAAACGTGGCTTCTTTTCTGTAGTTGCTCACTACGCCAACAGTAAGGGCGCGATAGTTGACCTACCCATCGCGCTGCCGCAGCTGGTGGGTGCCCACACTGGTGAGGCGATAGCTGACGCTGTAACCAAAATCCCTGCAATCCTTCAGCATCAATCGCAGCAAACTCGGCTACTTTGTGCTCGATAACGCTTACAATAACGACACCGCTGTTAACAAACTCGCCGCGATGTACCACTTTTCTGCCTCCGATCGCCGCCTCCGCTGCGCTTGCCACATACTTAACCTTGTTGGCCAAACGATTATGTTCGGGAGGGATGCTGACGCGTATAACAACGCCCTGGAGAACACAAAGATGGAGGATTTTTACATGAAGGAGTGGCGGAAAGAAGGACCGCTTGGCGTGTATCTTGATATTATCAACTACATCAACCCGCCGAAGCAGTGGAGCATTTTTGAAGATTGCCAACGCGAGGCAGTTAACAGCATGCCCACAGGCGCCAGCGGCGGCACTCGCGAGCCAATTAAGCCGTGTGTTACACGTTGGAACAGCTATTACGACTGCTTTAAGCGCGGAGTTCAGCTCCAACAAGCTATCAACGCATACGCCACGTACCACATTCGCGAGACTGAACAGGCTGACGAACAGGCAGCTATTAGAGGAAACAAGCTGCCTGATGTGCCGCGGTGGATGAGGTCAGACGGCCTTACGGCGGCTGACTGGGCGGTGATTACTGAGTACATGGCGATACTGCAGCCGCTCAAGTTTGCTACAGATCGCCTCCAAGGCCGCGGCAAGTGTGGCCGTTTTGGCGCACTCTACGAGGTCATCCCAGTATTTGAGAGTGTGATAACTGAGCTGGATGCACGCCTTCGGCCATACGAATCGGTCAACCACGAGCCATCTGAGGCGCCCGAAAATCACATCCCGATCAACCTGCGAGCCGCGAGGCGAAAAGCGAGCAATTACTTTACTAAGATCCTCCAAAGTCCCATTTACTACGCAGCTACGGCACTATATCCACGATATAAAACATACTCTAAGCGCTTCTGGCGCAACAAACCTACACAATTGAGCACCGCGCACGCGAAGTTTCTGCGGGTTTGGGCTGCCTACAAGCCTGCCGCTGCTGCCACAACACCAACCCCTGCGCCAAAACCTACCATGAGCAGCTTTGACGACGCTATCGACGCTATACTAGATGAGGACGGCGAGCATACAATGGAGGTGGAGGATGAGTACGATAGCTGGTTAAAAGAGCCTATATGGACGTCTGATCAACACAAGGAGGGTCCAACAGCTGTACAGTACTGGTTATCGTTGAAGCCGAAGTATCCACATCTTTCACGATTGGCGATCGACGTGTTGACTATACCCGCCTCCAGCTCTGATTGTGAGCGCGTTTTTGCGGGAACTGGCGATATAATTGAGCCACAAAGGCGGAAAATTGGCGCGCAGTTACTGGCTGCTTTGGTGTGCTTGCAACGGTGGACTCGTGCAGGTTTTACAACACCAAGCACGACAACAGCAGCAAAGCATACTGATGAGGAGCTCACGGAAGAGTTTGCGATAGGAACGTGGGAAGAGCCGCCTGCAGAATTGTCATAGAAACGTCCCTTCAGAACCTTAAGTCTATCAATATTCAATCAATCAAGCAACCAAAAATTGGCTCTTCAGTCTCATCAACTCAAACAAACAAACTGTAACCCTAAGAAATGAGCTAATCAATCAACATCTACGCCTCAAATGTTGGTTGTTTTGTTTGTTGACTTCTCTGAGTCTAATAGACATTGTTGTTGCGTGATGAATACTCGACTGCTTTTCCTCTATGCTACCCGTATGCCCTAGTCTTCTTCTGTCTCTTCTTCCGTCTCTTCTTCTGTCCACTCTTCCTGTGCAATGAAGGTGTCCAGTCGAGCTGTAGTGATTTCCGGTATGAAAACATCAGCGCGTTTAGTCGCTAGGTCATCAGTCTCTTTCTTGATCGATCTGATATACAATCTTTTCCTGTTCCGGTAAAATGAACCCATGGCTGCATGAGTGCGAGGTACATAATCAGGGTTTTCACGCTGAAAGAAATGATTAAACGCATCGGCAACTTGCTGTTCTGAGGGCATCATGTAACCACGATTCTCCCTGCCTCTTTTCCTAATTAGTGTAAAAAATAGCATTGTGCATGCAGGTTCACGTGTGCCCCAGCTTCTGTCTCTTTTAGTAGTGTGAACGGTCTGTAGGTACTGTATCCCAGCTACCTAATCCAGATGCTATTTACAGTTGAGATGAAGAGATGAAGAGAAGAAGAGGAAAGTGGGCGGCCATCCCGCTTTGTTTAGGTTGGTGCACGGCCTATGGTCTATTAGGGGAAGGAGTGATAGAAGGAAAGAAGCGACTAGGCCGCTGGCCTAGTCAAGTGACCTAGGGCTCAGCCCGTTACAAGTAGCAGCGTTGGGATACGTTTCTTGTAACACGCCAGTGGTTAGTTCGTTCCATGGGGGGACATGTGGCGATCTAATTTCTGTCTCTTCCGTATCAAAAGAACTCTGTGCGATGTATCCGTCGTCTTCAGTAAACGCCTGGCTAGGACTTGAGACGCTGCCTTTTTTCAAGTTCCGAAAAAATTGCCAAAGATGCATCCATTTTTCTCCTTGTTGGAGTGCGGACAGATTCCCAATCTCCTGGCGAGCTCTTCGGTATGATTGTAGAACTTCCGGAGTATCTATATCAGCAAATGATTCAGGAAGGATATTATATCTCAAATCTTGAGCACCCTCAAGTTCAAGTTTCAGCGCCTCGACCCACATACAATCTCCTTTCATCGGCTCCGTGTTTTCGAAATCCTGCTCTGAGACTGGACATTGACCGTCAAAGTACTTCCCATACTCCTCATAAACGCTACTCTTGTGCGTCACGTTGCTTTTTGTTGCCCATGATTTCTGAGAAAAAATATCAACGTAATAGAATCCCAAGAAGAGTGCATTGTGTAAATCTTGTTCCTCGTTGATGTTAGATATAGAAGATACGGCATTACTCAAATGTAAATCCATCATGCTCGTCCTTGCGGGAGTGTCGGTGATCCTGGATATGTCAGATAAAATAATTACGCTTTTTCAAAGGAGCTTGAGACCGACAAAGGTGAGGATTGCTCTGGCCGATTTGCGTTGTACTAGAGATCCATGTCGGCCGGGCAAGCCAGTCTCCATGCATTCACTTCTCACCAGTTAGCTCTCCTCTTATGGGACTAGCTCCTTCTGCTTAAGGGCTAGCCTCCTCTAGGCAGCACCCCGCACCATATAGCTAGCACTTCGCGGTTCTCAATACAACAACGATTTCGCCCACTCAGTTCCCCAATAATCCACAATCGATATTTATCTCCCAAGAGAGATTGCTAAGACTGATCACGCATCCGATCATAGGAACCTAGTATTAGGTACTTTTTGTACGGAAAATCTACTTCTCAGTCCAGGTGACACCTTTCCGGTTGTACATGATCGCACACGTGGGGCATGCATGCTGCCATGTGCTATTTGGCGCATTGCCACATGATCTCATGCGCGCGCTCTACTTAACCTATACAGATGTTACTTGTCGCACATCATACACGGTATACTCAGCGAATGATACACATTATCCATCACCTTGCACATATTTTGTCCACGGCACCCGGACAGACTCACGGGTCGCTTACCTAGACCAGGAATCGAACAAATTGGTATATTCCTCTCCTTCGTATTCCTATGTTCAGTTGCAACGGTCACAAACTCTTCCATACTGCTCCACACTGCTGTGTTACACGGCGAAAATCCGCATACCGCATGCAAATTGCGTTTCTATATTGCCAACATACATGTTTTGAACATTCAACTCAGTTCCTACGATCTTAAGTCACGCACCTAAGCACTGCGATCTGGATTCCTGAATTGTCGTGTCGCTTTCCGCTGTAAACTTTCATGTGGGCTTTGAGCCTATCATGCCTAGACTTCTCCCCTGCCTTTTACTCCTACTTCTTCTTCTTCTTCTTCTTTGGTCTCAGTTTCTCTTATTTTTTTTCTTAGTTTCTCTGGATCGTGATTATGACAGCGCCAGGTTGTTCGAGCGCTCTCGGGCAGACTGGCATCAACACGCTGACATTGTCCACCCTGATGCGTAAGGGCTGTACACTGTATAGGTCCAGTACTTTTTACTGTGTTCTGATCATTTTGTTTGTTCGTTTTCTCAATATTCGTGCCTCCTGCGTTCTTGTCGCGCGCATCGGCCCCTAGTGCTCCATTGTCATTCCCTATCAGAGCGGGGGGTGTGGTAAAAACAGCGGAGAGTGTGTTAGGAAGTCCAGAGCATTCCCTGTAAGATTCGGCAAAAAGATCACCTTCATCGTCGCTATCGTCGGTATTCTCGTCAGTGTCACTACTCCGTGGATCATCTTCTTCTGAGAGCTGATTTTCTTGTTCATTCTCTTCGTGGCGTCCTCGTCGGGTAGAAATCGGATGCTCTGCCGGGATGTTCATGACGGTGAATTCATTTCTGAACTCGTACTGCCGTGGGAGTTCAATACGCCTGCCTTTAACCCCCGGGCCTTTCGCAAACTCATATTGATCTTCTTCACTTACTTCGAAGTGCCCCGCCCACTTACCAGTCTGACGGTCGCGCCCCCTCGGTGTACCGTCTTCTTCAAGGTCGTACAAAAATACAGAAACCTGTTTTTTTTTGGGTGGCACTGAGGGTACCATCTGGTATCTTGGCTTTTGCCGTATCTTGATGATTTTTTTACCGTTCTTGTCTCTCTTGTAATGAGGCTCTACGCCCCCGATAGCATGGGCATTCGGTTCCATTTCATAGACATGGCGCATACGCATATGGGTTGTTGCGATATTATCACCCCATGCACATGACTCGAATGATGTTGGGAAGTCAAAACTAGACTCCGCAACAATCAATTCAATCCGGTCACTCTCCTAGACCCACTTACCTATCTAGGTAGGGCTTAAACTCCTATAGGTAACTACTAGGCTTAAAGCGGTAATCAATCAATCCAATCTGAACCTTCTAGGACCCACTTAATTGATTGTTGCGGACTGTGGTCAAAACTGGTCTCTGTTGATCCATGATGTGCGTGCAAAAATCTCTCGCGACTCTCCTCATTCAGAGCATCATCTATATGCCATGCAATCGGATCGGTTCCGTGTTCTTCCTCTGCTCTTATTCTCCTTTCTCGTTCTTTTAGAACGTCATCCTTGTTATAGACCCTGACGCCTACCTCTTCAACTTCCGTTCCATCTGAGACTCTCAGTTTTTTTCGTGGAAAGCGTTCTTCCAAATGCTCATAGCGAAGCTGCCCTTGCGGAAGCGTTTGATTGATTGTACCTCGTAGTGGTTGACTGTATTGATGGGCGTGCTACTGATCTATGACCTCAGGGATATGTTTACGATAACTGAGTTTGAGTCTGGTATACATCAGAATCATGTGATTTAGCCAATTTCGATAATGATCATCTAGGGCATTAGTCTGATCTACTACCGTCGGTTTCTTGTTGGTGTTGCTTGCTGGATCACCAACAGGGTCTGGTGCTTGGCCTGTAGCTTGCTTTTCTTTGTCCTTTCGCTCTTCGAACTCTCGCTCCATCTTGGTTTCATAGTACTTTGACTCTGGATCAAAGTTTTTTCGGTTCCATAGATTCTGATAGTACAAAAAATCTTCCCAGGCCTGATCTGCGTGTTTTCGTTCAATATCAGCGTTATGGATATCAAGTCTCTTGTGCAGCGCCTCCCGTAGCTCCATCTGTCTCCTCATATCATTTTCCATCTGTAAACGTCGAGATCTCTCATAGATGTGGCCGGTATCTTCGTCCGTATAACTCTCGTATTGTTTCCATACCCTGTCTGCTTGGGCGATGTGGTTTTGGACTTCCTGGGTAGTCGCGGATGCATCAGGCCCTCGATTTCCATCTGCTCGCCGCCGGGCAGCTGTGACCCATGCAAGCAGTGCTTCTTTCGTGGCCAGTATCCATTGCTCCAGCTCTTCCAACGACGATGGTTCTTCCGGCCAGTTTTCTTCGATGGTAGGATTGAAGAGTGGTTGCTCCTTTGCTAAGCTTTTGCCATCGCCACCGGCCTTATTGGGCGCCATGCTGTCAATCCGACGTGTGGATAAAATGTTCAAAACATGCACTCCTACAGACGGAACGACTCTCTTGGCGGGATTCTTGATTGGTATCTTGGACCGCTGGTAAATATGAAGTCTCGAGTCTTTGTTTTCGTCGCGGCAAGTCAAGACCGATCACACAAAGAAAAGCACATGAGGAGGGTCGACCAACAGAAAGCAGCTGCCTTGACCCTGGGTTTTATCTTCGAACAAAGACATCAATTAAACTTAGTGCGTACAACTAATGCGCTAGCCTAGCACAACATGTCTGAATGCGGTATTGTTGTGTTGGTAAACTTGAACCGAACTTTCGGGTATGTAACGTCTTATTAGAATGAAAATTGTTTACTTAGTTTTTAGTTCACTCCAGAGGCCTGAATATCTGTCAAGTCTTAAGGTGCTTGCTTTTGTGCACCCTCCACTCCTACTCCCTCATTCGGTGCCGTACCATCGGCCATATTTTGAATCCGCTTATCAAAACGCCTATCATGCTCCTCGTTAAGCTTGTTCCTCATGAACTGGCCTGAATCATGTAGGACAAGTTCTTCATTGGGAAGTAGCCTACGTTTGACCAAATCGGATATGGGGCCGCCGTATCCATAAGGAGGTATAATGGCAGCTCCAAGGACTCCCGCAACTCCAGCTGCCCCCCGGTGACGAGGATAGTCTATTTGGAACTCCCCATCATCCAAGTCTGCCGCGTTTGTACCTTTATGACCTTCGCTCGGTTTCGTATCCTCCTTTCGGTCGCTCACCCACTTCCCCTTTGATCCATTACGCGTGTAGTAACTCCCAACTGGTAACGGATAAGGCTTCAGCTTATCATCCAGATCTTCTTCTGCTTGAACAATGTAAGAAGTGTTTAGTGGCTGTTTGTTCTTGAGCTCTCGATGCTTTTGCAACGCCTCTGCATCAGACTTTGGGAGGTCTGGGGGGCCAACCCAACCTTCTGCTTTGAGTCGAGCAACGACTTCTGGAGGTGTGCTCACAACTGGTGTATCTGGTAGGCTCTTCCACTTTGGCGCTCTACGAGCTGTTCCGGTCTTCTTGAGCTGTTGAGGCTGTGTTGCCTTATGCAAAACTTGAGGAGCTGCCTCATCAAGGGATACAATGCTACTGTTCACCTCTGCTGCTCCCTTATCATTGACGTCTGTGGTTACTGGCATCTCTAAGGCCCCTTGGGGGGCAATTGACAAAGCTGAGAGTACTTCAGAATTCACATTGAGCGCTGTGGATTGAGCTGTGTTCTTATCTAGGACGAGTAGGGTTGTTTGCTGCGCTATCTTTGGGTTTTCAGGGTCGACTGTTATTTCTCCAAGTGTTGTTTGCTCCATGGACGCTTGTAGATCTATGTTCTTTGCACTTCCTGCATTGAGGATCCCGCTGTCGATAAACGCGGCAATGTCATCATCTGTGATCTTAGGCATGTACGCGTCGTTGCCGTTGCTAGTCTTATACGAATTGAGACCATCGCGAGGCGTGCGAACTCTTGTATCAGGGCGGTTGAGATAAGATTTGAACGGCTGCACAGTACGTGCTGGGCGCGCAGGAAGTTCATGTCCCTTGGCGTCTCGGAGGTCGCTTCTACCATCAAAGTACTCATTGAACGCCTCCAAGATCTTGTTGTTATCGGGAACCACAATCGAGGTGTCCTTCTTCGCTTCAAGCGTAACCCTTTCCAAGAACAACTCCAGGTACGCCTTCTCAGTCGGAGCCCATGAGAGCTTTTCGACGAGAGGTGGGAAGCCTCTCTGAAGAAAGACGCTAGTGCGCCACTTGTTGATGTATTGTATTTCTTTTTTGCTGTTTCAATCGATGTCTTTTGTTTCTTTCTTCTGGTAGATGAGAGTCTTCTCTACATTTGTTGTCTTGTGACGAAACTTCATTGTGAGACGATTTGCTTATGGGGTGCCTGACAGGATGGTATCACGACTATCGCCGTCCATGAGCTCCGAGTCATTGCTCTCTGTGGTCTTGACTTTTTTGGTTGCTAATATGTCTAGGATGTCTGTGGCCTTTCGCTTGCTAGACGAGGCCATTGTGGTTGTTATCCAGGGCTTGATTGCAGCTTGAATTCGAAGATTATTGAATCGGGCTGTGGGGTTTTGCGCACATCCAGAGATGTCAACAAGCAAGTCAACCTGGCTTGAATCCTATCGATTGCAGATCCACACACAATATAGAGGGTCGTGCCCAGTGCACGTCCCAGAGAATTGTCTGTGATCTGCAAATCGATAAGAATCAAGCCAGCTTGACTTGCCTTGTTGACATCTCTGCGCACATCAGAGTGTGTAGTTGGTTGGTTGCGATAACTGGGGTTGCATGAGAAATCGATCAGAAACTTATTACGCACAGGGCGGACTATGAGTGTAGGTGGCTGAGTGAGCGGCCAGTGACCAAACCCGGGCCGTGCACTGTAGCGCGACACCTCCAAGGTCTCAACTGCAAGTGAAAGATCACCAAAAGTGATATAGTGAACAATAGTTCTGTATAGTTTGCAGTGAGTTAAAAATAGTATCAGGCTTACGGCCAATTTAAGCAGTAGACGACTTAGCAAGTACGCACTGCTGAAATACCCAGGCTGCATGTTTTACCAACGCGAAAAATTCACTATACATTGCAGACGAGAGTTTACCTATTACCTAAGATCCCTCGAAAGGAGAATCGTGACTCTTTTTTGACAACTATTCGGTGGAGCGTTGGAGAACGTTGAGCCCAAGACAACCTCTTGTGGCAATCCAAAGGTAGGCTTGGTGTGTGGAAATATGTTACCGCCCAACACTTGCTAAAGAATCTCTAATCGTACCTCAGTAGGCAATCTTCCCACACAGATGCCGACAATTTCATACAAGCTTCATCTCGATGGTCACTGGAGACTCTTGGCTCCCTTCTCGAAACGCGCATAGCTTCTTTCGCGAATTACCGGAGACAACTGGCCAGATGTTTAGAGGCCCCGTCATAGCAGATACTTGCAAACGAATAGCAGCAACATAGCAGTCGTTTTTCTGTTGTCGAAAAAGCTCCTTTATGATGGCTCGATAGACTAGGTCATTGCCAGGCTGTGTGCCGTTCATCTTGTATAGAGTATCTGCAACATACTCTTGGTAGGATACCTCTTCCCGCTCTGAGGCAAGCTTTGGTGATGTCTTCGGACCGCAACATAGGGGAAGCATATTAATGTAGATGATAGCTGCAGGTTATCCACGTTTTGGGAAGATCACCCGTCACAACGTATGACAATCCCAGGTTCGACGTGGAATCCATCAAAACGACATTTGCGGAAAGCATCTTTGACTTATCTGAATAGCCGAAGTACGAGGAAACGTGCTTCGCCGCTGATGCCGGGCGCATTGAGACACATTTTCTGCATGCTCATTAGATTCTTGATCTCGTAATCAAATATAGAAGCAATTAAGTGTGAGAGTGATTATACGAGACGCGATTACCCCAAAGTGTGTAAGATTCATGTGATGTCTGTGCATGTGCCTAAAAATAGGTTCAGTGAGTAACAATCTACTAAAACGAAACTTGCATACTCACAGCCACTGCAGCTGGAATTTGACGTCATCCTTTGTTGTAAAAGGTCCATCATCGCAGGTAAGCTCAACTGAGTAGCACCCATTTCGCTGTCTGGAACGTTTTGTGCTGGTAGCTTTTTTCACTCTAAGACTCCCGTAGTCGTTGAATGATGCACGCTCAGGCCAGAGTTGGTGTGGCGACGTATAAAATTGAGAATTTAGCATCGCATAGCTGCATTGAATTGGCACTAGGATTACGAGGCCCTCTCTTATTGTTTCATTCGCCTCAGTCTCGTCAGATGAGGTTGCATAATTCCCGAGTATGTGCGGAGCTGCTTCTGTGGTGGTAGTAGACTCTGTAGTAGCCTTGTGTTGTTCCAGGATGAACTCATTCGGAACGGATGCTTCTGCCGACGCATGATCAATCTTGCGTTTGCGTAGTTGGGGCGTCGCTATATCCGTTTGAGGGTATTTAAGGACGGTACTTGGCTAGAAAGCTCGTTGGGTGAGGCGCTTCTGTCCGCGATTTGGTCATCGGCAAATTCATTGGTACATCTGTGTTATATCTTGAGGGTAAGATCGATGATCTAGACGATTCCCAAAGCGCAGTCGCAGTCGCAGGAGACGCTTCGTTGTTGCCTTTTTTGGACGGATGTACAAAGCGGACACCAATTTTTTTTGGTCTTCGCGAGGGAAATTTGGGCAATTTATTCGCTTTTACCGCACTCTGACTGAGTTTTGATTCGCGAGATCTGAGCTTCTTGGCACGGCTTTTGAGTCTGTTCAATTCGAAACGCACATGCCTTTGCGTGATGTCTTCTGAATTGCCCGGAATATCATCAGTAGTACAATCTATACGACCATCTGTATGCAGAGCTTCATTATCTCCATGGGTAAATAGACGCTCTTTCCCACTTTCGTTTTCCGAAACCTTTGTCTCAGAAGTATCCTTCGTCTTTCCCTTCATGATTTGAGATTTATTTCGGCTTGCACCTGCTTCTTATGCCTCTTGCAATGCAGAGTTCTTCGTTCTGTCGCTGTCAGGTTTTGTTCCAGCATGTGTTCCGGTATGTATGTAGGGCTCTGGTTGTGAATGGGGCTCCGCTTGCGCATGAGTCCCCTGTTATGGTCATACTTGTCAACGAGCGAGCCGGCTCGCTCAGCTCGCTCGGCTTGGACGTTTTGACCAAGCCGAATGAGCTGAGCGCGCAGTGCGCGCTTGCAAGCCGAGCGAGCTTAGGGATAGGCGCTCGCTCAGTCAGCTTGCTTAGCTTGGTTGGATGGAGCGGTTGGAAACTTGGGGCTGAAGGACTTGGTGGAGGGGCAATCTCACGATGATTTTTAGGTGTAGTGCGTAAGTTCGAAACCTAGTTATAACCTAAAATACACTCTTTTTTGCTATATTTCTAGCAAATAAGCTACTAAATTTCCGGCTAACGGCCTGGCAACAATATCTCCCTTCTGCGACACTTCACTTACTACTTATCACCCACCACACTCACCTATACTCCACCAACGCGTCTCTATTTGCAGCTATTATCTACCTCGCCGTTGCTATAATGCCAGCAAAAAGAACATGCGTTAATGCTCTAGAAATCGCGACAACTTCGAAGCGCCCTAGAGTCGCAGCGCGTCATCGCGGGACTGCCAGCCAACCTGTGCTAGTCGATACTCAGCCATTCTCACCATCTCCACCTCCTCCACCGCTGTCGCCGCGTCAAGCTCTCGTTGCCGCGCCACAAGCACCAAATTTTGAAGCGACCCTCCGAGAGTCGCGCGCCGAAGAGACGATCATCCCACCACCTAAGGGCAGCGAGCATGCCACTGTTGCAGCTTCAGGAGCAGCTAGCGAGGCTGTCGACAAGGGTTTCGTATAGGTAGAGGACAAATACGACGGCTTTAATTAGAGTCGCTACCCAAAGCACTGCAAGCCGCCCACATCACTTTCGAACCGAGCAAGCTGGGTATACAGCCATGGCTATCGCATCGCCTTGCGCAGCAACGTCGCAAAAGTTACGTGGATCTGCCACTATTGCTATAAGCACAAGTTCACTACTGTTGGCCGTGGCATACATAACGTCTCGCAGTCTCCATCAGCGCCAGCACGTCATCTCGGAGAAGACAAGAAAGTTCATGGCTTGAAGCCTCCAAGTAAGCGCACTACCGTCGCTCCTCGGAAAGAAACTCTCCTCGAACGCGCCCTTCAGAAGGGCTGCTCTTAGGCTGTTGCCAACGAGCTTACCAACTTCAATATACAAGAGTTTAGGCTTGCGGCCGTTACCTAGCTCGTCGAAAACAACCTCCCACTCTCACAATTCGAATCATCGTCTTTTCGCAATATGATATAATTAGCTAGCGTAGAGGCAGAACGAGCCTTGTGGGCATCTTATAACAGCGTCTCACGATACGTTATACGCCTGTACAACTACCTGTTACTAAAGGTTATCGCAAGCCTTTCAGAATCAATGAGCAAAGTCTATGTAAGCTTTGACGGATGGACGACAAAAGGTGGCAAGCGCGGTTACTTAGGTATCGTCGCCCACTACGTTGATAGCTCTGGCGAGCTCAGGGACTTGCCTATTGCGCTCCCACAACTGACAGGTGCCTACACCGGCGAGGCTATGGCTGAGGTCGTGATGGCAATATTCAAGCAGTTCGAAATCACTGTGGGCAAGCTCGGTTACTTCGTCCTCGACAACGCACATAACAACAACACCACGATTAACACTCTCGCCTTGCAGATAGGCTTTAGCGCTACTGAGCGTCGCCTTCGCTGCGGTCCTTATACGCTTAATCTCATTGGCCAGATGCTACTCTGGGGTGAGGAGAAAGAGTCCTACGACAACGAGGAGACTGAGCGCGTGAACGAAGCTGAGAATATGGCTACTTGGCGAGGCGATGGACCATTAGGAGTGCTTGTCGCGGTTATTAACTACATCAAAACACCACAACAGTACGCTCTTTTTGAGAAGTATCAGAAGCTCGCTATTAGGGACCAGCCTGTCAACGCGCCAACAGAACAGCACAAAATCAAGGAGCCCGTTAAGCTAGTTGTTACTCGCTATAACTCTTACGTTTCGTGTTTTAAGCGCGCTGTTGAGTTGTAATTAGCGGTTAATAGGTACGCCAACTACCATATTTAGAAGATTGAAACTGAAGACGCGTACGCCCGAAGTCGTAACAACAAGCTGCCTGCAGCGCCGGATTGGATGAGGTCTGATGGGATCAATGCCCATGACTGGCAGGTGATTGCTGAGTATATTGATGTGCTTAGGCCACTAAAACAAGCTACAAAACGGCTTGAAGGCCGCGGCAAAAGCGGTGCTTTTGGAGCAATCGCTGAGGTTATTCTAGTATTTGAATACTTACTTGGAGTCTATGAGGACCGCTTGCAAAGCTATGAAGACGTCATTTATGATGAGCATACAGAGTCACCCGAAGACCACCTTGCTATCAACCTCCGCGCTGCCCTAGTTAAAGCCCGCGAGTACTACAACAAGCTCGACCTCTCGCCAGCTTACTATGCTGCTATAATCCTTCATCCTCGCTACAAAAGCTACCTTGACGCAGCGTGGGCGGATAAGCCTGATTGGCTAGAGAGCAGCAACCGCAAGTTTCAACATTTGTGGGCGGAGTACAAAAGCTTACCGAAGCCGCGCTTACGCTCTAAAGTTAGGCACAATGATATAGAAGACGCTATTAACAGCTTTATTAAGCCGGCAGGGCTTACGGAGAACGAGGAGGATGAATATGAGGCTTAGAAACGCAGCGAACCGATCGCTAGCGAGGGCGTCGACCCTATAAAATACTGGGTAGGACTCCGCGATCGCTACCCCAGCCTTAGCAAATTTGCTATCGACATGCTATCAATCCCAGGCTCAAGCTGTGAGTGTGAGCGCTTATTCAGCGAGCTGGGTGACCTCCTCGAGCCCCGTCGGCGCAGCATTTCTCCGCAACTTCTAGCAGCAATACAGTGCGATCGACGATGGATAAGAGCTAGATTTGGCAGTGGTGAGGTGCCTGTAAAGGAGGCTATCAGCGATGAGGAGATGGACGCGAAATACGGTGTACATAAGTGGGATATTAGCTGAGAAACTCAACACCAAGGTTTCTATATAACTTTCCTAATCGGGACTGAGCCCATCAAGCCGAGCGAGCTGACAGCCCTGTTTCAGCCAATCCGAGCGAGCCGAGCGAGCTGCTGGCCTCCGCTCAATTGGCTGAGCAAGCCAATTGGCTGAGCTCGCTCAGCTTGCTCATTGACATCTGTGGTTATGGTATGATCGGATACCCATAAGGCGTGGCATAAAAAGAGTGATACATGGAGAAGTATCCTGAGAAGTATGTTTGCCCAGTTTGCAAGTAGGGCTGATATCCACCACTGTATGGCGCTGGGGAATAGTAATAGCCGAAAGGCTTATACTAGTCATCTGCCTCTGGTGGTTGCTGTTGATGATCGGCATGGACATCTGGGCTGTTTTTCCTCGGAATTTCATCGCGACTGGTATGATTTTCCAATTTTCTGGCTTTCTCAGTAATGCGATTTCGGGACTTTTCCCTAACGCTTTTGCTATTCGCAGGTGCGGCCCTGCCCTTGAAGACCACTTCTTCGTCCGAGGACTCGGGCAGGCTCTCAACAACATCAACGCCTCTTTCAATGATCCTGGCATTCAAAGGTCCATTCACACTCTCAGGAGTGTTGTTAGCGATTAAATTTTCGCTTTCCTTCTCTTCTGTAGCTGGCGTCGTCTCCGAATCTGTCAGCGGCGTCGCTACCCGAGCAGGCCGACCAACGGAATACGTAACGATACATCGGTCACCAATCTCATCGCCAACGTCCCCATCGTCGCGCATGTCCCTGTCCTCTTTCTGCATCTTGGGTTTGTATAGCTCTACAATGCCAGCTCTCCGCTCCGCGCTCACGATCAAGGCACCACAGCGAACCTATTTTGCACAGCATGCAGCACCAACAAAACGCGATGTTGTTCTCGTGACAAACGAGCAATTGGGGGTCAAATGCGCGGGATGCCTAAATACAATTTACATTTGCAGAGTAGCTGCAGAAGAATTAAGGGATGATTCGCATGTCTGCCTGGTGGCTATTCGCGAGGCGTTTGATCCGGGGCGGGTTAAGACGGAAAGCCGATATCTCCGAGACACCCCCGTTGCGCTCCTACATCTCCTATCGTCTCCGATGCATTTGGGGAAGATGAAAAACATCGACTAAATCGCTGTTACACTCGATCTATCGAGATTCAGAATTGATTATTGAGGAGTTAGACCGGAGTGAGGAAGATGAGGTGTCACCAGCTACCCCACCTTCCCATGAAGCTCCTTCCCCATTTTGGACAGGCATGCGAACTCCGCCCCCATGTTTTTCTTGGGCGACTACGAAGATTTAAGATGGCAGGGTGTTTCATGTACACATAATTCATTCCTATCTTCAGCCGACTAGGGACCCTGATAAATCAGCAACACCAAAACTCCAGAGCAAGCAAACATTATCCTACAAGCAAGAAGGCGGGATCATCGAACTTCACGACCATGGCAACCCCACCTCATTCCCTCGACCACCTAATCCTCTTCCTCCCTGTCAACCCCAGTACCACACTCCCCCAAATTCCTCCATCTCTCGCCTCATCCTTCACCCTCATCCCCGGCGGCCACCACGCCGACGGCGCAACCTCCAACACACTGGTCCTTCTCCAAGACGGATGCTACATTGAGCTCATCTCCTTCTGTAACGCCTCCCTCGCCGAACAGCACTGGTGGGGCCCCAACCCAAATTTCAACGGCTGGAAAGACTGGTGCTTAACCAATGCTCTCCCCGCCGACGAGAACCAGAAAATGGTGGCTGGCAGCCATGCAGATCCAATCAGGGGTGGCAGACAGAGGCCGGATGGCGTGAAGGTGGAGTGGGATGTCACATTTCCGCATGGCGAAAAGGGTGGACAGGGAAGTAGGGGCCGCGTACCGTTCTTCTGCCATGATGTCACGCCTAGGGAAGTCAGGGTGCCAGTTGACCAGGAGAAGACGACGCATCCGTGTGGAGCATTGGGGGTCAAGGAAATCCACGTTGTTGTGGATGAATTTGGGCTTTTTCCTGATACGCGGGACGATTATGAGAAGATTCTTGGTGAGCCTGAGAACAAAAAGGGGGGTTTGAGATTTCGACTCAAGAGGGTGAGAGAGGTGGAGGGGTTTGAATTTGGAGGCGCCGACGTTGTGCTGAACTATCCTAGGAATGAAGAGGATAGGCGACGCGTTGCCAAGACTGGCTTTTGGTTTGGGGATGTTGTACTTTTTGGAAAAGCGGAAGAGGGTAGGAAAAAGGGTGCTAGAGAACGGTTGGATGTCACAGATGGAGGAGACGGGGTTGGAGGTCTTTGGATAGAATATGTTTGATTCATGTTATTAAGAGTCATGATATCATGAAACTCGTGTCTTTCCATTGCCAAAATCAAGCTTTTCAAGTTGACCATATTTTGCTTGTGAACTCCTAGGAGCCGTAGAACCCGCACATAACCTGTGGCTAACTCACCTTACTTCTTTTCTTCTTTCTTCTCTCACTCCCCACCTCTCACATTCCTCCAGATACGTTACTGCTGCGCGACTTGCCGTCGGTGTCAAGATCCAGATCCTGATATTCTCTCAAGAAGCCGTTCAACAGCGCAGTGTCAGGATTATCGTTGATGTTCGTGATCGGTAGGGGCCATAGACTTTGGGTGTGTTGCAGCAGCAATGACTGTTCTGCCTCTTCACCAGGTGTACAGTAGGTGCGAACCAATTGTAAATCTTCTGGTGCCATGCAAACTTGCAGAGCTCGGAATGAGAGTTTACCAAGCTGGTAGCTAAGGCCTTGGCTATGCAAACCTAGTGCACAGAGGACAAGCGTCGACCGATGCACATCGATCATAGTGGAATCCCCGCTGCCGTCTATTCTCGCATATTTGAGGGCTTCGACGGCTAGGTTGCCGACAAAGACTTGTATCCACACACTGAACGTATTGTGAACTTCGAAGCTGTGTCGCATATAGTAGAGTCTCAATACGGTTTCGACAGATGTTCTGGCTTCAGAAGCAATCCTATCGAACTTTTGTTTGAAGATGGCGAATGCGCTGGGATCCTTGATCTGAATGGCATACTGGAGGCGGCGGAGCTGTAAGAGTAGACAGTTGTACTCTAAATTGTGGGGTCGTCAGCGATCCCACCGTAAAAGTGGAGACTATTTGTACTTACTGGAGCTCCAATTGTGTCGGATATACAACCTTCTGGGGTCTAAGCGAGTCCGGAAGGCTTGTAAACCACGCATCCAATCGAAAATAAAAACCGAGAATTTGGTCGAGAGTCAAGATGGCTTTACGCTCTGGTGTTCCATACAGTGCTATCGACATGTCCATGATGAATACACGTAACGCTGACCTGGCTCCAAATTCGCAGCCTAAGTGAATAGACTCCAGTATTTGTGAATTAGGATAGCGCAGCCAGAATTCACCGTACCACTCTGGGTATTTCATTGGGTCCGGTAGTGCGATATTTGGTGGTCTGTCGAGGAAAGACGTTCGGAAGAAGTAGTAGCAATACATGCTTTGCCAGTTGAAGAACCTCCATGCTGTGACTGCACGCGCCTTCGTCAACTCTTCATTGGCGGACCATTTTGGCTTCTGAAATAGGTCAATCTCTTTTGCGATGAGTAGGGCCTGCAGCATGTAAGACAGGCCGACTCGGTCCAGGCCGTTTTCATTCATAACGATCTGGAGTATAAGCGCGGCCTCTACAGTAGTAAGCGAGAGCGACTCTGAAACTTCCAACTCCCACAGCCTCTTCGTTTCGGCGAGAAAAAGGTAGCCAAGTGTGTGTGGATTCCAGAACTGAGTGCTGTCGTGAATAGCTTGAACAATGGCAGCCGGCCGCGAGTATGGCATTAACTAAAAGTGGCGAGCAAAACTGATCTTTCCCATCAACCATATCTTGAAGGAACAGGTCTTTGTGCAGGTAAACATAGCTTGGGTGCTGGTACATGAAATAAGCGCCGAGGAGCTGTCTCAACAGGGTGTTATTAATTATGACGTTCGTCCACTTGGCTGTTGTTACCCGAGATAGTAGAGGATCCGCCATCACTGCTGATGAATAAGGCATCATATATATGTTCATGGCACTCTCTTTCACATCTGCTAGCGGAACTGGCTCCGAGGTCGTGGACGCGTTCTCATAGACGACAGATTCCAGGTACAGATTGTTACCAGTCCGAATGAAAGCAGGAATTTCCACACGGTAAGGGAGTTCATATCCACGCCGTCGCTCAGGAAAAAGAGAGAGTTGCATCAGAAGGTTGCCATCGTTGATCTGGTTTAGTATATCTTGCACGTTGCCGCCCGCTCTGATACGACGCAAAACGTCAGCGGAGTCGGTCTCAGACATTGTTCTTAACATGTCGAACAATTTTTCATGGGCGGAGCGCTTTCCGCGCATCTCCTCGTATTCGCGCTTCACTTGACGTGATTCTGTCTCAGTGTAGACACAGGGCATATCTTTTGTGGCGCATTGCGAGCACTTTGGACGTTCTCCATTGCACTAGCAAAGTCAGTCGGGGTATAGGGTCTCGGGACCCTCGTCAAGATGCAATTACCTTGGTCTTACGGGCCCGGCAATTATTGCACGCAGCAGAGACTTGTGGCTTCTTGGGCTGTGTGGTCGGCCGTCTGCATGCGCCTGGAGGAGCAGGAAGCAACTGAGGCAGAGGGCGTAAAGGCGAAGTTGTCATGTTTGAGGTTGTTTGCCAAACAAGAGGATGTGAGGCAGTATGGGTTGCCCCATAACGACCATAATAGTGATATGGACGTTGTGCTCGTGAGTGGACGGAACGTCTCCCGCCAATCACAAAACGTGCTGTCTGACATGGTACGTGATTATGTCATGATGAGGTAAGCTAGGCGTAGCCGAAATAGTTATCCTCGATACGAGATACGCATTCGGAACGCGCCTCATATTGCTTTTTCAGCCCGTCCAGCAATCACCGACTCGAGTCAGCATCACCTAGTCCAGGATCCAGGATGAGTCTCGCGAAGACTGTAGAGTATGCATTGTGGCGCGCTACATTCCAATCCTTTGCCAAAGAAGGGTAGACGCGTCCGGGTTTGCAGGGGTGGGCGCGTGCGAGGCGAGGCAATATGGTAACATGGAAGAAGACGGTCTTTCCCATGGCAAGAGCACGACAGGCTTTTATATGCGCTTTTCCGCTCCGACGGGAACAATCTTCGTCTCCTTAGCAAACCATGGGTATGACCGCCACCTAAGAGGTCGAGCAACGTTACGGGCAAGCTCTGTATTGGCCCTGCGGACCTCAGCACCGAAGCCAATCACACGGCTGCCAAGCCCCTGCCTCCATCCCCAATCTTTGATTCCCATGACGCAGGCGGTAATGCGCATAAACACAATCTAGTATGCGCTGAGATGGTTCTTACTCCCTTACCCACGCAGCGCGAGATTTGCGAGTGGCCCGATGCAAGACGACAGGCGATCCGGTGGTCCGCAGGGTCTTGGTCCTTACGGGTCCCAGTTCAAGGTCGCCATTCCACGCTTGCCTGCACGACGCGCCCCGCCACCTACCATACCAAAGTCACGACAGAGGGACAGAGTGCAACGAGCATGTCGAATCTGCCACAAGAGAAGTGGGTCATCGATGTGCATGCTCCAAGTTGATAGTGACATTATCGTCTGACCGAACTCTGCCAGAAATCAAATGTAGCGGCGGCCTTCCCCGCTGTAACTATTGCGAAAAGACCGACAAGCCCTGTGTTTACGAACGGCCCCGAAGAGATCGCCTGGCAACGTCAGCCTCGCCCCCCTCCCTGTTGCACCATCAGCTGTTTGACCCTTACGCAGTGCGAAAGATCGTAATCAAGCCCTGGTGTCCGTTCTAAAAGATCTAAGTCTACGCGTCAGCGGCGACGACAAGCGAAGGATTGAAGATGTACTTCAAGATGTGAGTATCTAACCACTGATCGAAATAGACCAAGCCATCTGTCGGATCCATCACCGCCCCATATTCTCATCATGAGCCATTGTCACTGAATCTTAGACTAACTCCGCCAAGTTAGACGAGGAGGCTGAGTCTCCTGCTTCCATGTCCTCGTCCTCGCGAGCATCCGCTGCCCAGCAATTTCAACAGCTTTCACGTTCGCACCCATTTGCATCTTCATCTAGTCATGTCCCATTCGCCCCGGAAACATCGCCCACTTCTGATCAATCGCCACTGCCCCGACTTGACGGAATCGTCGCTGAAGAGTCCTGCGATGAAGAAGGCGCCGGTACCAAGAACTGTGATGTAGTTGAAGCGGGCTACTTGGGCCAGATCTCAGAAGTCCAGTGGCTGCAGAGCCTGAGAAGTAGAGTGCAGGCTATCGAGACTGTCTATCTGGATCCTGCCGACGTGTCCACATCCCTATCTCATCCAGCTTCACCAGCCTTCGCTACATCACCAACTTCGGTCCCGGCGAGCCCAGTTCCGCACGTTGCCCTGACCAACTACTATCTTGACGACGACGGCATCAAATTGGCCGATTGTGGAAATCCGTTCGAGCTTCCACCAGAACACACTGCAGGCCTGCTATTCCATTGCTTTAGCACGACTGTCCATACCTCCTTCCCTCTCTTACCTGCGACGCTCGAGAGCCAGCTGAGACAATACTACGATCTGGTACGGCACGGACAGGCTATACATTGCCCAGAGAAATGGTTCGCTCTAGTAAACCTCGTGTTTGCCATTGGCGCAAAGTTCTCGCATCTTGTTCAGGCCAACTGGCGAGCAGATGAGCTCGATCACGTCGTTTATCTTTCACGCGCCTTCCAGTTACTTAGCATGAATGACGCTATTGTCGTTCTTTCGGCTCCAGATCTGTCCACCACGCAGGTAATTGGTGTGCCATTGGCGTCACTTACACAACGCTGAGGATTCACAGGCTGCTGGTCTTTTTGCTATCTACTACATGACCCTTGGCCACGTTAATAGGTGAGTTCTGTCACAATTGGTGCTTTTCATGTTCACTTCATAGTCCATGTTAGATTTACGTGGCATGCATGCTTATCAGATCTTGACAGGGCCTGGGTCATGGTCGGCATCGCCATGCGGTCAGCCTTCTCACTAGGCCTCCATATCCAAGACGGCAACTATTCCATCCCCGCTCTGAAACAACAAAGCATGGTCCGTACATGGTGGAGTCTGCACGCGCTAGAGAGTCTGTTGAGTTCGATCACAGGCCGACCGAATATCATACCCAACGAGGATATCACAACCCCTTTGCCCAGCGCCATCCCAGAAGTCCAGGTTCCGGGCGTGATTGCAACCGCCAATTCGAGATTCTTGGATGCAGACTCCAATTTGAACCTGTTGACTCAGCGAGCCATTTCTGGACTCTATACGCAGAGAAGATCCCCGCCATCATGGGAATACATACAACAAACAATCGTGTCATTGGTGGCAGATTTGGAAAAGTGGGCAGCGGAGTGCATTCCTCAACTCAACCAGGAGACGTGGAACTTCACCCACGAGCAACAACGAGAGATGTTCTTGCTCAAACTCCAATACTATAGACTGAGAATTCTCACGACGCGGCCATCGCTCCGTCGTATCGAAAGATGTTACGAGGCTGGGACCGACGATTACAATTCGTTAGACCAGTCGGTTGCGGACGCATGCATTCAGGCAGCACAAGATGTGGCCTCGCTTTTGGCCGCCGAATCCAATCCCGCCGCCCTCTACGAGAAAGGGCCATGGTGGTCGATCGTTCATAACAGTGAGTTCCCCATCCCAGACTCAGCTTCTTGCCGCTGACAAGCTGTTCAACACAGTCATGCAATCACTCGCCGTCCTCATGAACGCAATTGCCTGTTCTACCAGCTTCCGCGACCCATCCAAAAAGTCGGTAGCAGCAGTGCATCAGCTTGCCAACTGGCTTCGCGTCATGCGCGAAACGAACAGCCTCGCCGCTCGCGCATACCAAGTTGTATACTCTATCGTCAAAACATCAGACCCAAGCGTCTGGGTCGACATCGCAGACGCCTTCCCTGATGAGATGACCATGGTGGTCCAGCAACCCGCCTCAGTCCCGTTCGATCCCAAATATCTGCCATGGCCCGGCAAAGAACAATCTTCCGATGCGCTATTTCGGTACGAGCTAGACGACTTTGGCAACTATCATTTCCACATGCTTTGAGGGGGTGTCCTGCACATCTTTGCGTTGCTCATACATATATTATATCACCGTCACTCCGCTTACCGGGTGACGAAGATTGAAAGTGGCACTCAAGTGCGGCGACGACCCCGAGAATGAGTTCTAGACTGAACTAGGAGAAGCTAGAGGTAGCGACGACAAAAGGCGAAACGGAGCGTTTTTTTACTCTCCTCAGATCTTTGTCCCGAGCACTTTTGACGTTTGCGTCTCCCTGCATACGCCACACCACGCCTCGCCACCAACCTGTTACACCAGGCTAGCGGAGCACTTTGCGCTGGCGCGTCATCCTCCATCGCCATTCTGTCGTCATCGACTCAATGTCGGTTCCGCGGCGCGAAAGTGAATCAAAACAACGAGTAGTTTTTAGGATTTGAAATCGGGAGGGGAACAAGCGAAAAAGCCGAGTCCAGATTGGCTCAAATTTTCGGTTGTATTATTTTCAGGATCGATTTGTGGGAAACGCTTAATCTGGGTAGAGACGGGCGAAGAGGGGGAAGATAAAGAAAAGAGGCAGGTCGGCACAACATCTGTAGCTGTACGAGCGCGCAGGTATATACACATGAATGTATAAATGCATACGCATATGAATATAATTACAAACATAAACCTGAACAGCTGAAAGGCAAGGCTGTTTCTGCTTCCGTTACCGTGTTCCAGACAAACAAATCATTTCTAACAAATATTCATGCACTCACAGTTGCTATACATGCAGGCAAGGTCACAACGATGAGAACGGACGACTCGCAATCATGCCTATCTAACTTCCTACCGAATTGAAAGACAGTATAACTCACTAACTAGTAACTTTCCTCTCTATCTCTCGCCATCAACGGCTTTTGCACACTAGACAGTGGGGAGGTAGAAAATCAAAGAATATTATAAATGTTTAAAGGACTGAGAGATTAAGAGGGAACAAAGAAGCTTCAGAGAGATTTGAGTCCATGGTCTGCACTTCCAACGTCGATCCAATTGTAATGTCCGTAGCGGACAAACTAAGCGTATATGTACACTTTGAAAAGCAGAGTCACGTGATACCTTTATCCGTCGACCTGGGTTACACAATCATACGTCACACTTGGTGATCCATACAATCTTTGTGCCAGAGCTTCATGACTCGTACGCATGCTTTTCGTATCTACATACATATACATATACCACAACAGCCCCATATGACATGTACCTTCATCCTCACCCTTTTCAGATCTTGGTCTCACTCCCCCTCAACGCCTCGATATCCACAACTTCCTTGACGGCTTCGGTAGTAAGCACAAAAGGACTTGTATCGTCTATACAAACACTGTCTTCGATCCTAATGCCTATGCCCCTCGCCCACTTGGGCCAACGCTCATCGTCTGGGACGTAGACACCGGGTTCGACCGTCACACACATGTTCTTCTCGAAGAGTCTGCTTCGGGAGAGGCCGGGGCTATCGTGTACGTCTAGGCCGACGTAGTGACCGACGTGGTGGGGAAAGAGTGTTTGTATAGCGTCTGGAGAGGACATATCAAACCCCAGATCCTTGAGGCCTTGAGCTAGGGAGTGCGAAGCCATGTGATGCAATTTATCAAGAGAAAAGTGGGAGTCCGTACGACAAAGAGAGATGCAACTACGCTGTACAGCCAGGAGTACCTCGTACAAGTCTTTTTGCGACGAGGAAAATTTACCGGATACGGGCCATGTACGCGTGATGTCTGTAACGTAGCCGCCATATTGGGCACCGGCGTCGACGAGGACGAGGTGGTTGGGGTTTAGTTGCATGTCGTTTGAGACGTAGTGGATCGTGTTTGCGTTGATGCCGCCAGCTACGACGGGCACGTAGGCAGGGCCGTCGCACGAGTCTTGCTTGAACCAGTAGTCGAGGAAGGAGTCGAGGTCTTTTTCTGTGGTGAAGGTTTGGCGCATGGCGTCCGTTATGGCACGGCCGGAATGTTGGCCGGCGTGGCGCATGTTTTTGATCTCTGTGTCGCTTTTGATGAGACGCAGTTCGTTTACGAGTGGACGTAGGGACTTGATGCTTGCTGGGGATTCGCGGAAAACGCTATATATACCACCTGTGCGTGAAGGTTCTGCACCCGCCAGGTAGCGGGAAATCAGGTTCTTGGAGACGCGGTTTTGGGGAAGGTCGGTGTAGATGTTTTGCACGCGGTTTACTATCTCGGGGAGGAGGCGGGGTAGGTCGTCGATACTACCGCTCACATCTGCATTGAAGACATCTTCTGCGGCTTCAACGCCTGACCTGGGACCTTCCCATGCTTCCACTTTGGGATCCTTGGGTCGCACATATAGATGAAAAGTATGGTCACCATCCTCATGTTTCTCTATGATAGCCAATGCATCCTGCTCTTTGAACCCTGTGAGATACAGGAAGTCTGGGTCTTGGTGGAACTTATAGAAGACGGCACCTGATGCATATTTCAAGTCATTCGCCGCGAGTATGGCAACGGAATTGGGCGGCAACTCTTTGGCAAGGGCAGCGCGGCGTTGGTGGTACTCCAGGGCTGTAATTCCGGGTGTAACTACCATGAGAGTTAGTATATGTCAGCTGAATCCAGGGACAGGTATTACCTTCCCCAGCCTTGAGGAGATGTGGATGCGTCTCATGCAGTGGTTGGCCGAACCGAAGTTCTGCTGCAGGAACGGCAATCTCAGCGTAGGTCCTCGTGATGCCAACTCTTGCGTCCCGCGTCCTCGTCCATGCTCTGCTATCACCACGCCATCGCACGCGTGCAATTGGCCGCAATAGTCGCAAGGCCGAATTCATGAGGGCGGAAAAGAAGGGCGGAGGTTGCAACGAGCGAATCAAGCTTTGGCGGAAGAGGGAGTACTTTCCGCTGCCATGACGCTAGCGGTCGATAGTGGGGAAACTGGCCAGGCCGGCTGACGTACCGTGTACCTGCATGTGCCACTACAGCTCCTCCCCCGCAAACACCCCCATTGTTGCCTTGTACAGCAAACGCATATATGACACGCTCACTAAACACTATACGTAGTCATAAACACTACTCGACAAGACCACCACCGTATTCGCAAATACTATCCGCCCAAGAATGGCCTCCTCGGCCCCCAGATCCAGCGTGGTCCCGCTCGAGCAGCTACAGAGCTTCCAGGAACACCTGAATAAGTCTACGCGCATTCTTGCCCTACTCGGCGCGGGATTGTCCGCTTCATCAGGACTGCCAACGTTTAGAGGAGCCGGAGGAATGTGGCGGACACATGACGCGACATCGCTGGCGACACCACAGGCCTTTGAGCGAGACCCCGGCCTAGTGTGGCAATTCTACAGCTACCGACGGCATATGGCGCTCAAGGCCAAGCCGAATCCTGCGCATTATGCGCTTGCAGAGCTAGCGAGGAAGAGGGAAGAATTCATCACGCTGAGTCAAAACGTCGATGGTGCGCATAGCCCCGAGGCTCTTTCATGCTATAGCTAACGACGACCCTTCTAGGACTATCGCCCCGCGCCCAACATCCCATTGATAAGCTCAAACTCCTCCATGGCTCACTTTTCGACGTAAAGTGCTCCGACTTCTTCTGCAAGTACGTCGAGCGAAACAACTACACCGATCCCATCGTGCCTGCCCTCGCCATTCCCAGCGATGACTCAGATCCGACGACGACCTCTGCCCTCGCAGCTCGCGAACTAGACATTTCAGACATCAATGTCGCTATTCCTGAGCTCGACTACTCGCATCTGCCACACTGCCCTGCCTGCAAAACTGGCTTGTTGCGCCCCGGCGTCGTTTGGTTCGGAGAGGCTCTGCCAAAGGATGTCATGAAGGATGTGGATGATTTTATTGACGACGACCGAAATGTCGACCTCATCATGGTTATCGGTACAAGTGCAAAGGTATATCCTGCAGCTGGCTATGTGGACGAAGCGCGCATGAAGGGGGCGCGTGTGGCTGTCATCAACATGGACCCTGAAGACATTCCCGCCGGCGGTTTGTACGATAAAGACTGGTTTTTTCAGGGTGATGCCGCGCGAATTGTGCCTGAGCTACTGAAGAGTGTTATTGGTGAGATCGATATCGAGAAGATGGGGGATGCCGCTGAGGGCTCATGAGTCCAGGTTCTTTGGTGTTGTGCAGATGTAGGGAAGCGATGGCTTGACTTCTACTCATTCAGCGACATTTTTAATATATGACCAGCTGAGGGTATGCGATATCAGTGGGCCAATTGACCCCTGGTACATAGGTTTCAAGTGAGGAATGTCGGTACCTAGGTACAGACCATGGACTAAGTTCCCAATTCAGTGTCGATAGCTACATTGTATGAGAATACTCAATCATATTACCTAATATCCTCAACACATCTCGCAGGTAGACTTCAAAGGCTCGATTTGCCCGCATGTACAATAATTGATGAAATGAAGTGACCTCTAAGAGGTGCAGACAAGTCGCCCTGCCAAGACGCTCCGCACAACTAGTGCCCTTCTCGGTTACTCCACCCGAACACCACTCAATGTCCCGCAACCTCAAAAGCTTCCCCTCGTCGAACAATGCGACGATCATCCAGAACAATGAAGGAGCGCAGACGTCTTCTCAACAAGCAAGGGTTTCGATCCTTACCTGACTAGCGTCTAGCACCTGCGTTTCACGTGTTTTCCCATCAATCACTGCCCCTTGTTGATAATCCTCCTGTATATTAGCCAATCGCTCATCTCCATCTCCATCCGAGCGACTACAGAAGCGGGTCATCGACAGGCTTGGCAGCCAGATAGCGGACGCTGCTCCCGATCGCTTCGTAGGCCCGATATCCTTCTGGTGGAAGTATATGCGATGGTTGTAACATGCATGTGAGATCTCAACATTCATCCATATATCAATCCGGACTTTCTAACAATTAACAAAGTTCGAAATGGACCAAGTCTGTTCCTTAAACAGGGAAAACTCGGACCTTGCCTAAGTTTGACATCATATAGGATGCTTTCCTACTCTAGTATACACCCGGATATGCAACCGAAGCCAAACAGACGGGAGATGCGCAGATCTAACACGGCGTCGTACTTGACAAGGTATAGTGGCGAAAAATTGTACCCACCCAACGATGCGACATTGTGCACACGCGTTGGTACAGTACTAAGTATAATAATTTCTACATATTCATGCGTTCTCGGATGTAATGAAAGATGCTCATCAGTCCTCAAAGATTGTGAGGATCAAACCAAGCACGGGCTTAACACGCCACATGCATATTTTGACCTACATCTGGCTCGCAATTCTTTGACTCAACATCTGCTGTGCCGATTACCGGTAAGCAAGCCTTGCCTGGGCTGCCCAGTCTGCATAGGGCCTCCCAGGCCCCGAGAAGTCTCCACAGTTTAGTAAATTTGTCTCCAGATGCAGGTTGGTACTCGCAGTATTCGGCTGCTTTGCAGCGACTTAGATTAGTTGCGTCCGGTGGGTCGTCATCAAGTAAGACATTATGCACGTTGCGAGGTATCCTCATATTAAAGCGACAGATACATAAGAAGACTACGTGGCAGCCACGATTCAGGCACCCTGACGATAGAACCTCACGCTGTTCACAACATCAGCAGAACGCGGTTTTCTAGCTAAGATGGTAAAACTACAGTTTCTCATCCGATCGCTCTGTCTGGCGTCTTTTTCAGTAGCAGCAGTACTTCCTAGATCTGCTACTCCCGAATGCAAGAACCCCGTGAAACGGCTAGAATGGTAACTCTACCCAACCCCACCACGTACAACAACGATCCTCTTGCTAAACCATGTCCCATCATAGGCGCCAGATGACCACCTCCCAAAAGAAAAGCTACATCGACGCCGTTCTCTGCCTCACCACCAAAGAAGCCATATCAGGAATCAATGGTACCGTAAACCGGTTCGACGACCACCAAGCCGTGCACAACAAGCAAACCCCCTACATCCACTTCGTCGGCCACTTCATCCTCTGGCATCGCTACTTCGTCGCGACCTACGAAAAAGCCCTCCGAGATGAATGCGGCTACACGGGCGGCCAACCCTACTGGGACTGGTCCCTCGATGGCGATGCCTCAGACCCCCAATCCACCAAACCCACAAAATCCCCCGTATTCGACCCCGTCACCGGCTTCGGCGGCAACGGCATCAGAGTCGTCGCCACCCCCAAGCAAAACCCCTTCAACCTCACCAGCACAGGTGGCGGCTGCGTACAAGATGGACCCTTTGTAGCCCCCAACTTCATGGTAAACTACCCTGGCCCCCCATCTTGTCTTCGCCGTGACTTCATCCCCGCCTTCCTAAACACATGGACGGATCCCAAACTCGTCGAGAACCTACTTTCCCAACCTACCTACGAAACATTTGACCACGCACTCGAGGGTACACCGACGTTCTACAAGCCGAACCTGCACGGCTCTGGACATTTTGACGTCGGGGGTATCCTGGGACAGGCGGGCAATGCGTCGAATAGTCCTGCAGAGCCGCTGTTTTATTTGCATCATGGAAATATCGATCATTTGTATTGGATGTGGCAGCAGAAGGATCTCGAGACGAGGCTATCGCAGGTAGGCGGGCCAGTGAACAGGGATGATCTGTCGGGTCCGAATGTTACGTTGGATTTTGAGGTGAATATGGGGAAGTTGGCGGGGAGTGTGCCGTTGAGGGATTTGATGGATACAGAGGGAGGGTTGCTTTGTTATACTTATTAGGTGGGTGGTTGCTGGCTGGGTTGCATGGTTTACTGTAGAGTTGGGGGATGAGTGGGTGAGGTTGCGAGCGGTGGTTTGGACTCGTTTTGTCTTGATTTACGACTGCTTTATATGCTTATCTATTGGAACAAGGTCCCTCTAGTAGTATGACTACTATGGATAACCGAGTGGGAGGAGGGACAAGGCGGGGTGGCTGCAACGTATTGTATTGACTATACTCGTTTGGTGTCAAGGTCTCACTCTATTGTGGTGGGTGCTATTGTCCACCGGGCAGTGCCTGCCACACCAGCACATCATGTGATCCCCAAGCACCTTCTACCTGGACTGAACCCAGATATTCTCAACATTATCTATACATGCCGTTGATATGAAGCATTTCATTTGCCTCCTCACCTCGTTGGACGCCAATTCAGGATCATTCTAGCTTTGGGTTCATCTTTAGCGTAATACCCACGCAAGTCCGTGCTGCAATTCGTTCATAATACATCCTCACGACATATTCCAACACCTCTTTTCTTAGTCAGTGATTGATTCTTGGCACGCGTATTTTTCGTCGCGCCTACCTATTGCAATTGACTGTTCGGCTGGGACCGACACGCTAACTCAGCGGGATTCATCCCGCCTGCCTGCCTGCCACCTGCCCCGCCTTCCACTTCCCCGTCCTCACTTCACTTCCACATGACAACGCCATGAATTTCCTAGATGGATACTTGAGCTCTAGATGATGACTTTTATTTGTTGAAACATATGCGCAGCCCTTCACGCTTCATCGTTTCTTCCAAAATCAACATCGAGAGTCACGCCAAGGCGCGCATGCAGCAGAAGACGCCGTTCAGTCAATAACAAGGCTTGGTCGACATTTGCTGTCATGCATGACGCCTTACGGCGAAATTTGAGCCCGTAGACTGGCTGCATATGTGTATCGCCTCGATTGCAAGGCACAGCTGTTAACATGGTCGCCTAACTCATATCTTCATCCTCCCTCAACACAAAGACGTTAACTTGCTTTTCGGATACCATCAGTACCCTGTTTTAGGTCTTCTAGATATATAACATACCACCACCTGTGATCTTCATGATCATTATCTTGACTTGATAACTACTTGGAAAGCACATGTATAGTATGTACAATCCCTTGCTATCGGTTTATTGAAAGCACTAACTTATATCTTTTTACACTAATTCTGTATTTTTATATCTGTTCAATCGCTCCCCCCTAGTTTCGTTTTTTTTCGTCTTTTCCCGGCACCAATCAGGATAGCTATTCGGATCCCACTTCTGAACCCTGGTTGCCACTAAAGTATCTTGTCCATCCTGTTCCTTCGTTTCATAGACAAAGAACGGCTTTCTCTTGTACCCCTTGAGATACGTTTCCATGAACTCATCTTCCTCCATAATCATAAGCAGCGCATTCCGCTGTCCTTCCAACTCCAGATACAGGTATCTAGTCAAATTCTGGTTCTGCACCGCCGACTCGGCAGCAAGCCCCGGTTTACTCTCCTGATAGTGTTTCTTGTGGTACACTAGCGCATCTAGGTAGGGACCTAGGCTCGGTACAAAGATCTTCTGGGAATGTCCTGCGCTTCCTCCTTGGGGGAGGCCATGGAAAATAAGTCGGGGTGCCGCGGGTTGACGTGGCTGCATCCCCCGAGGCAATCCTATGCTTCGCAAACGCAATCACGAGCGGCACCACGCAATTCAAGATCGAAGATTCGTCGCAAACGATCGCGTTCCACGCTAGCCAAGGTTTCATTGTCTACCTCGAGTTACTACAATTTGGTGGTGGCTTCGTGGAACCGATCGCCGCGAGTGAACCCTTTTATGATGGGTTCCTCGCGTCCCGGGCGGATCTTCTCGTTTTGCGTGGTGTGACGGTGGCTGAGCGGGGTGCCGATGGTGACTTGTTGGACTTTCGTTGGCTATTGAAGACGACGGCGGAACGGGGCTCACTTCTCCCACGGCTGGATCGGGACAAAGTAGGGGCGTTGAAGGAGGTGGCGGGAATGTTGTTGTGGTGGGAGGCTTTGGTTCTTTTGGGTATTCTTAGGGAGGAGGATTTTGTATTATTTTCTTCCATGTAATTCCATTCTTAATTCACTGTTTTTCTGTTTTCAAAAGTTTAGGAGGCTGTCTTGTGAAGTGGTGCATCCTCTAACACAGTTTGATAAGCTCGTAGGATTGCTCTATATCTGGATATCAGATATAAAGGATGTATGGAAGACCTTCAGGTCATACAAATGTGGCAATGAGATGTTTATAGGATTGACCCGTTCACTTTCTCAACATCTGAAAGCACGAGTGGTGATCAGAGGGCACGAATCTAGAATCAGGTTGGCGCATCAATCCGTACGTAGAGGGGATTTGATCTGCATAATCCATGGCTCGAGACTTCCACTCATTCTGCGTCCCTTGGAGGACGGGAAATACCAACTGGTGGGCCAGTGCTATTATGAGGGCGCCATGCGCGGCGAAGATGTAATATAGGATGAGACGGACGCGGATGAGTTTGCAATTGTATGAGTAACATGGGGATGTGAAGTACAGCTGGGTTGTATATTAGTATTACAGATCGATAGGCTTGTAGCCCCTGTAGCCGTCAAATATGCTCAAGTGAAGCCGTACACTAACCTTGAAGTTATGAATGCTACTGTTGGTAGAGCGGTAGCACTAGTGCTGAAAGGAAATAACGATAACTAGGAATGCATTCTGTTCGGTGATGGTTCCGATTGATTGTTCTATATCTAGGTTGCTATGAAGATATACGCGGGGTTAGTACGAGTCAGACCGAAGTAGGACCGACGCGGCCCGTGATTAACATCTGTAATCCGACAGCTACTATAAATATGAGTAAATAAGTCACATTTTTGGATAAGCACAATAGCCAACATGGCAGTATCGACTTTACAACAACGATTCGTTGCTCAAGTCTACAGAAGATGTGATCTAAACGTAAGAATACCGATTAAGAACTATGCAGCAGCACAAACAGTAACCTTTACATCTTCTTCTGATACTAACCCATGTCCGAAGATAAGCCAACAGGCAATGTCTCAATCCTAACCGTTAAACTACTGGTGGCCTGTCTCTGGAGTTGGAGTTGTTATGTAAATTGACATGAAAGGGATGATAGGGTTGTACAGGCGAAGTGTATCAGCGGGTTTAGGTAGAAAAGGACATTTTTCTATATAAACAAGGTGTTGGTTGGGATAAACAAAGGTTTCCAATTCAACAAATCATTATAACATCAATCATCCATGGCATTCATCTACACTATACATTTCATGTACATCCATGTCTTCCAGCATAACCCTGAGAAATGCTGTACTGATTGGCTACGTTCAGCAGCCAAACGTCTGGATATTCAATTACAGCATTCAAAATCCCCGATTTTACCACTCATCGCTAGAACAGACATGAAACGCCATTTGAATCCCCTTTGCCAGTGTTTCCTTCGTTAATATCGTCACAAGATGGACCCCCAAATGTGCCGCGCTGCTCCAAGCCCGCGCTCGCACTCGCTTTCAATGAGTGACTCTGCCGCACCATAGTGAAGGTATAGAAAGGAGAGTTGGAAAGCCAAGAAAGAAAAAACGCCAATGGTCCGTCCTGTGCAGGTAATGCGTTTTAAGGTATCAGTCGTTCAACCAAGAAGTTTGTCCTTGGGCAGGCGCTTGAGCGCTTCCTCGACGTCCTTGTGATCAACAACCACACCGCTCTCGGAACAGCGGGCCTTGGCACGGAGCTCAGAGCAGAGGTTATCAATGTCAATGGTGCCGTCTTTGAAATCTGGACGACTTGATAGTTTATCCCTGGTTGACGTTAGTAGGCGGCGTTGCACATTGCTGCATGATTTTACTGACCAGATCTTGTGGCAGTTGAGAAGTGAGTTGGGATCCTCGCCAGGAACAACTTCATCGTCACCGTCCTGCGCCTGTTCGATCTCCTCCAATGGGTTCGACTTCTGCACAGCGGGAGTGTCGCCAAAGTGGAAAGGACTGCCGTAGCCGGTGTTGAGAAAAGCGTCGTTGAAGAAGCCACCAGTGAAGTCGCCGTCTCCGACAATAGCGTTTGTCGTGTCGCGATATTCTCCGAACAGTGTGGGATCGAATTGGCCGCCGTTCTGGGTCGCAAAGTAATCGATGCCGTTGGCGGCTGGGGTAGGTGATTTGGCTGATAAGACTGCAGGAGAAGGTTTGTCGTCAGATTGGGACATCGCACGGGGCATGGGATTACGTGGGTTGCCGCAGGCCATGTTGAGCTTTTCGCAGAAGAGAACCTCACCTTCGGAGTTTCCGTGACACACATATCCGTCTGTGATTGTGTCTGCCTGTTTGGGCGATGTGTGGCTTGGTTCTGGCGATGTTCCGCAAGACGAATCTTGGTTGGGCGATGTGGAAGAAGTGGAGGGTGAATCTGATTGGCTGGATGAGCTGCTGTTGAACTGGAATACACGCGACTGTGATGCAACCGAGCTGCCGGTGTTGCTGCGGGTATTGTCCTTGTTTGGTGCGCCGTTGTTGAAACCAAAGAAGCCGTTCAGACTACCTGAACGCTGTGCGCTATGTGTGGGACCCATTGGAGCTGGTGATGCAGTAAGCGAGCCATTGGCTTTGTTGGTTGGACTGATCCGTCCAGTGCTGTTTTGTCGAACGGAAGCAGTTGGGACGGATGCGCTCTTATTCTTCGCCAAGAGGCCATTGTCGAGCAGTTGTGTGCCTGGCAGGCCACCGAATCGTGGAAACTCAAAGGAGAAGTTATTGTTATTGCTGTTATTGCTCAACATGGAGCTGAAGCCGGCGGTAAGAGGTGGGGCGCGGTTAACTCCTGTGCTGTTCAGCGACAAGCGTTTCCTGTACTCTCGGAGCTCCATCTGCAGCCGCTGCACTTGGGCGCGCAAAAGACCGTTCTCCTGGTTTGTAGCATCAGACGCCTTTTCGAGTTCCTGTACCTTGGTCTCCAAATCCTTCAGGTGCTTCTCTTTGCGCTCGCGGAACGCTCGTTGGGCGGCGCGATTCTGAGCCTTGCGCTTCTATAGCTTTTGTCAGTTAGGTCATAGTGAGCATGTCTGTAAGACGTACGGTTGTGGGCTCAGACGTCAAGGGCTTACGGCCTGGCTTCTTGGCTTGCTTGTCTTCGCCTTCTCTACGCTTGCCGCCGCCCTCGTCATCGTCGGCGTCCTCATCGCCCGGGCTCTTACGCTTCTCGCTCGAATCGCCAGGAGTGTCGCCAGGGAGCGAGCCGATCATGTCACCATCGGCATTGTCGTAGTCGAGGTTGTTGTCGTCAAGGTAGTCGATGAAGGGGCTCTCGTCTACACCAGCGTTGTTGAAGCTATTTGCGTGTACAGACTGTTGCGGAGATGTGAAGTATGCGGGATCGAGGCTGTCGAGGGAATACTGGTACTGCGAATTGTTCATGGCCTGCTTGTCGTTGGCGCCGCTGTCAAGGCCGGTGGAGAAGAGGTCGTTTGTGTTCTGGTTGTTGGAAGCGAGGGCGGCAAGCAGGAGGTCTTGCTGTGTGGCGTCGAGGTAGAAGGGCGCACCATTCTGGAAGTCGTTGGTGGTGCCTGCCATTGCGTACAGTGTGGAGAGGAAAGTCGTAGTTGATTGATCGTATGCGGCGTGGTGAGGCGGGCGGGCAGAGGGGTCGCCTATCTACCTGATACGTCCGGAGAACGGTTTCGCCACCCGGAAGCCCGCAATATGAACAGCGTGCGCGTGGAGATGGAGTCAGTTGGCATGCACGACGCAAAACGTCCGGAGTAGCGTGCGTGGCGAGTCGAGGCGGCGCGGCAGTCACGGAGGCCGGCAGCTCGGAGGTAAAAGTGCCCACGGAGGGTGACGCGTATAGCCGCAGTTGAGAAACAGCGACGTAGAGGAAGACTAGACAGGTAGGAAAGAATTGGGTAGTTTGGGTAAAGGGTGGTCAGATGATGGAGGAGCAATGATGCGAGATGTCGATTTGCAGCCTCAAGCACAGCCTGATGGCCCTGGTCGGGTACGGCGCCCTTACTGGACGGACGGGTTCCGGGCGAGTCGTGGGAGCGACGCTCGTGGGAATGGGAAAAAGTGGTAGCGGGTGGGAAATCACGTCACTGATAGATTGTATGCACGAGTATGACTGGTTTGACAGAATCAGGATGTGAGAAAGGGCGCAGCTGGCGCAGCATGAGGTCGGCTCTTTGATTGCTAAGCACAAAGCAGGGTGGGGTAGGAAAGAAGGCCATCGAAGATAGTGCAATGACTGGCTGGGGTTCCTGGTAGGGCGACTAGTAAAAGTTTATTTCTTACGACGACAACACTTTCGTTACAAGTAGACACAATCATGGCTTCACGGTTTTGAGCCATCGCCATGTCGTAGTACTGCGGCGTCTTCTGCATGCTGCTGATTCAGATGTACAGGGATGGTTCGCAACAACCTTCCCAAGACGGCTATGCACTGAAGCTCAAGTGCCAGGCAACGACGAGACGGAACGGGTGTTCACGCCCTTGTTCATTTGGTTGAGATTGATTGCGCTTCAGAAATGATACTTGGTACCAGTTGCGTGTTCATGTTGACAGTACTTGAAAGTTTCGTCATGGGAAAATAGTTCCCGACACTAGATGACGTTGACATGATAGATGCATATGTTGCAGACATGCGCCATACGCATGTGTTTGTGATGAAATCCCCGGAGTCGTTCACCTCTCGCATGCGATGTAGGCGTAGGGCTGAATGGTGGAGAGAGGGTCCAGGCCGTGGGGCCGCGCCAAGACCAGTGCTTGCCTTGGAGCGTCACTGTCTGTCGCGACTTCAACGACCGCAACAGCGACCTCGAGAGAAGTTTATCCACCACAACCACAAACTTCACCACGCGCATGCCCAAAATGGCGGACAACACCAAGCACCTGAAGAATGCCATCAACGCGAAGAGGCAAGAAATTGCCCAGCAGGAGGCCCAGCGCGCCGAATGGGCAGACAGTGTAGGTTCTCGCACCATCAAGATAATACCATGACTGTGCTAACATTCTCCAGCTCACCGAGATCGAAAAGCTATCGGAGCTCCAGGGCGAATCTGAGGATATGAAGGCCATGCGTGTTGAAATGCTCGAGTCCATCGCCGCACACGATGCGCGACTTAAAAAGCTGCGCCCTGAGCTTGCCGCTCTAGAGGCCGAACTTCCTCAGGCCCCTGCTGAGCCGGCCGGCCCAAAGTTCGACCCCGAAAAGCATCCTCTCCTTCGCAAGACCATGGAGAAGGTGGAGCCGGAGAAAGTCGTCGTCTTCAACATCGGCGACATCTGTGAGGCGCAATGGACAGACAGGTCGTGGTACAAGGCCAAGATCCAGAGTATTCTTGGATCTGTGTCGGCTCCGAAATATCTTGTGCGCTTCATCGAATATGACGACACCTTGACTGTCGACCGCAGTGCAGTGCGCGCTCTCCCCACCAAGCGCAAGCGGGAAGCGGAGCCTGCCTCTGCCCCAGCGCCTTCAACGCCCGTCACATCCACACCACATGTCATCTCGGGCCCTGCCAGCATGAACCCTAACGCCCAGGCTGCCAAGAATGCCGGTGCCGCGGATGATGGAGAAACAAAGAAGGCCAGCCGAGTCCCTAATAAGGGTACGCTCAAGAAAAGAATGTCTGCTTGGAACGACTTCCAGAACAAAGCCACCAAGAAGGGTATTGCCAAAAAGGAGTCCATGTTCCGCACCAGCACCGCAGCTGGCAGTCGAGGTAAGCACTGACATTATTCATTCATCTGAAGATTGCTAATAATGTATAGTCGGCTTCACGGGCTCGGGCAAGGGCATGACTGAGACGCACAAGCGCACGCGTTACGACCACAAGGGCGATGCTGAAAAGGACGAAGAATACGCTGCGGACCGCAAGCGCATGTGAACAGCACGTCCAGCAGCCACCATCACATGGTATGTGAATGTGCAAGCAAACCTCCATTGATGGTTTGAATCTCTGGCTTACGTTGCCCCCGCGACCTTAGACCTAGGCACACCTGGCGATACAGCTACGTGGACGATTCACAACTGGTCGAGACGCAAAGCTCGTTAGCTTTGCACTGAACGAGCATAAGCTAACCTGACGCAGGCCTTGTCGCACACTATGGCGTCACATTATGACTTGTTCCTTCATCACGGCGTCTATGACACTCGCATATTCCTCGGTATGAGTTCTCGATACATACACTTTGCTTCTGAGCCAAGTCACTAAGCTCGATCCGCTCGATAGGCGTTAGATACCCTTCCATTTGGCACTTATCACGGACATGATATGAGGAGGACTGGTTTTCTTGTGAGGTAAGACATACCCCTTTGAGCTCCACTTGGATGGTGTGTAATGATCCTCTACTTTCCTTGTATCTACATTGCCTTTGCAAGTACATAGCGTCTGCGCGACACGATGCGGTCGGCAGGGCAATGGTGTCTAGAAGATATGAAAAATTGCAACAGGCTTCTCATCTGCAAACTGTGACACTTGATCGCTTCGTTATTATAGCATGGTGATGCTGAAGCTTGAATATCATGCATATGCGGTGGTTGCTCGGCATCTTCGCGAGAGCCCCGCGGCCCACCATGCGCCTGCCGGCGTCTTCGCGTGTCGTAGCTCCGACTTCACCCCACGCCTCAATGGCGCAGCTATCGCGACGCGCCCGTCAACAAAGAAGTGCAGGACATGTCGGAGCAATGTCATAGACCCACCAGCTTGAAATCCTCGTTGTCATCATGGAGGCCGACTGGGATGAGGTATAGCTAGCTTTTCTCTATACTTAGCCTGCAATCATTATCGCAGCCCTCAACACTACAAGCGCATAGCGACTGACTGTTGCATAGCTAGCCATCGTTCATCTGCCGCCCCCGGGACCGCATCTGCCCGCCGTACCCATATCGACGTTTGCTTTTGATACGACGCAAGAGTTACTATGGACTGGTAATAATCATGTGAGTACGTTCACACACGACCGACGCCAGGTGCACTAGGTTAACCATCCATAGGGAAGGGTGACGTCCTTGTACGGACCGCACCTCGAACGATACACTGCATTTCGCGGACATGCACCTCCCGACGGGCCCGTTAAACAATTTCTCTTCACCGAAAAGGGCATAATTTCAATCTCAAAACAAAGCGTTCACTACTCGCACCGTCGCGGGCTCACACAATGGCATTTGACGTATGTTGAGACAAACGAATGTCGACGGGCAGCTGCTGATTACCAGCGATAGGAATCCCGATTTCAAAGATCTGAAATGCATGAACTTCACATCCAAGGGCACACGCGAGATTCTTGTCGCAGGGTGTCAAGAGCAAATGTTCAAAGTAGATGTTGAAAAGGGAGTTGTAACAGAAACTGTAGGTCTGGAGCTTGCTGCAGTCCTACACTGCTAATGCTATACAGCTACCTGCTGAAGCCCAGTATACAATCATGAAACGCGCTGGCCAATACCTCTGCGCTGCAACCAAGAACGGCGGCATCCATATTATTGACTCGAATTCGCTATCGGTAATCAAAATCTTCGAAGGACATACAGGTAGCATCAGCGACATGGACGCCAAGGGCGATTTCCTCGCAACATGTGGCTGGTCGCCGAGGCAGCAGTATGCGTACATGCTTGATCCCTTCACAAATGTCTTCTCGTTGAAGACACTGAAGCAGCTTCCTCCTATCCCTTTCCATACCGGTGCAGCATTTGTGCGCATGCATCCACGCATGTCGACTACGGCCTTTATCGCGTCACAAAACGGCCAGATGCAGGTTATTGACCTTATGAATCCCGACTCGGCAAATCTTCGTCAGTTGAATCTGTATGAATCCTATCTGACGGGCTTCGAGATGGCGCCTTCCGGTGAGGCTATTGCACTAGCAGACTCCAACTCTACCATTCATCTATGGGGCTCCCCAACAAAAGTACACTTTCCGGAATACAGTAACCCTACAGAATTTGCAGATCAACATGTGACGCCCCAAGTATCCATGGACTGGAGTCCGGATAAGTATGTGGTGTAATTGCAATGCTTGCGCCCCGCTAATATGATCAGGCCACTGAACACTATCGGCATGCCCTACTACAAAGAACAGCTTCTGTCAAGTTGGCCGAGTCATCTCGTTTTCGAAGTTGGCGCTCCCCCGCCAAAAATCGACAGCATGATACTGAATAACATGACGCGAACTGAGATTGGGTTCTTTGCGAAAAATCCTAGAACCAAGCGCAGGAATCAGGCTGAAGCGACACGACACGTTGATAGAGTCAGCGACTCGCTGTCGGCGCCCAAGTTCTTGAGCGAAAAGTCACGATCTTCACAGTCCTTTACCGAGCCAGACGCCAAGCTATCAGAGACAATGGAGACGTTGACTGACTTGCACCTCGACGATGTGACTAGGAAGGATGTCCCAGCCATGTACGGAAACGTGGAGATCAAGTACAGCAAATTCGGTGTAGATGACTTTGATTTTGCGTACGTTTGCAACTATGCCACCTGTTCTTGACCTGACCAGTTCTAGATACTATAACCAAACTCCCTACTCTGGCTTGGAAACGCACATAACCAATTCTTACGCTAACCCACTCCTACAACTCTTCCGGTTCACGCCACTGATTCGGAATCTCGCGCTGCAGCATACTGCCTCACCCTGTCTCTTTGAGTCTTGTCTTCTTTGCGAACTAGGCTTTCTGATAGACATGCTGGAGAAGGCTGCTGGTCTCAACTGTCAAGCATCCAATTTCCTAAAAACGTTCAGCGGGCTCTCCAATGCAGTGTCACTGAACCTACTGGAGGAGTTTGCGCCAAATGTGGCTCTAACGAGCATGATCCAGAACTTGAACCGATTTCTGCTCGACAAGGTTTCTGAAGAGTTCCGACAGATGTTGCCTGGTCATACTGGACCGTCAGCAATGGATCAAGTACTGGAAACCCAGGCCAGAGCGAGTATGCGCTGCGCGCAATGCAACAACGAGACAATTCGCGGGGGCAAGAACTTTGTCAATGAGCTAGTATACCCAGCAAAACATGTCATGAAAAATACCCGGATACCGCGCCCCACGTTTTCGCAGATTCTCAAAGCTAGTGTCGAGCGTCAAGATCAAACTAGGGGCTGGTGCACCAAGTGCAACCGATATCAACAGATGGTACAAAGGAAGACTATCCAGTCGGTTCCTGGTGTGTTGATGCTCAATGCGGCAATCCAAAGTCACGAAGCGAAGTTGTTGTGGTCAATGCCGAATTGGCTACCACAAGAGGTGGGTATCATAGTAGATCAGGGCCAATTCTTCTGCTTCGAAGGTCAAGATTTGAAGTTACATTTGCAGCGCGGCGTGCACCAGATCATGGTGTATGAGCTTGTTGGAATCGTTGCCGATATCAATAGTGGGGAGCACCAAAAGCCACATTTGGTGGCGACGATAAACACAGGACCATCGTCACGAGAGGAGGATGCGGAAGATAGGTGGCACCTTTTCAACGACTTCTTGGTGAGGCCGATACCTAAAGAGGAAGCTTTGCGATTTGAACCAAGCTGGAAGCTACCGTCGGTTTTGGCCTTCCAGGTGAAGACCGCCCGCAATAAGATCGATGACTCATGGAAGGAGAATCTGGACACGTCCATCTTATACCGGTGGTGGTCCTCCAACCCCACGCCTCCAGAGTCGAAATTCAAATTACTCCAGCATGCAACAGAGGCGCCACGTCCCGGCTACCCCGTCGCCATAGACGCCGAGTTCATCCGCCTCCAAGCCGAAGAAATCGAAATGAAGGCCGACGGCACACGACAAACCATCCGTCCCGACCGCAAAGGCCTCGCCCGAGTCTCCGTCTGCCGCGGCCAAGGCGAACACGCAGGTCTCCCCTTCATCGATGACTACATCGCCGTAACCGAACAAGTAGTCGACTACCTAACTGAATGGTCCGGAATCTCCCCAGGAGACCTAAGCCGCGAGACCTCCCCGCACGCCCCCGTCTCCTTAAAGCACGCGTACAAAAAGCTCTGGCTCCTCCTCAACCTCGGCTGCGTCTTCGTCGGCCACTCCCTCGCAAACGACTTCCGCACAATCAATATCCACGTGCCTAAAAATCAGGTCGTAGATACCTCGAATCTCTGGTTCAAGCCAGACTTTAAAAGGAAGCTCAATCTCAAGTTCTTGGCCTGGTGTGTACTCAAGGAAAGTATTCAGGAGGATACGCATGATTCGATTGAGGATGCGACGACGGCGCTGAAGCTGTGGAGGAAGTGGCAAGAGTTTGAGGATGCCGGCGTGTTGGAACAGATGCTTAATGATGTTTATGCGAAAGGTAGTACGGTGGGATTTAAGGCGCCGGGCAGTGGGGCTAGGGTGGTGAGTGGGAGGCATGGGGGTAGAGGGGGGAGTGGTGGGAGTGGCGAGGTGTCGGAGGTGCTGACTACGCCGAAGAAGGGGGGGAGTCAGTTTGGGGGCGTTGGATTTAGGAGTCCGATGAGGAGGCCGTAGGGAGGGGTGGGGGAGGTGAGGTGGAAGAGGTGAGGTAGGCTAGGGTTATTGATATTGAAAATGCGTAATTCTTTTCGTGTTGTTACTGCTTTGAGCAACCTGTGAGTTGAACTTTTGATTTGCACGTCTTCCCCTGTCTCTCACGTTCTCCAACGAAAGAAGAAATACAGCATATGAGAAACTTCAAAAGTAGGTGTGTTGCTCATCTGGCTCATTGGTCTAGTCCCCTATTTCTATTCTCCCCCTATCTCTCCCTTCTGTTCTTCATCTTCCACTCTCATTTCACCTTCTTAACCTCTACATCACACACTCTCTGCATCACTTCTTCGCCAGCTCCCCCAACGCCGCCGCCCAAACTAAACACCACGTCCGACTCGTCCCACCATCAATCCACCGCTCATCCCAAAACCCATCAATCCCATCCCTGAAGAACGCGTAACTAGCCTTGGGATCCACAATCGCCAAATTCGCATACAAAATACTGCGCCACCCCCCCTCAACATTACACCTGCCCTCGCTAAAAAATGCATCCCACTCCTCGCGCACCCACTGCCTGGGCCGCAACAACAACGTGGCGGGGGTAAGCGGCAGCATGTGGATCCCGTGGATGAGGGAGGGTGACAAGGTGAAGTAGGAGCATTCGCAAAAGGTGCTGTGGCGCGCGTAGGTGCTGGCGTAGTCGACTCTGTTTTCGAAGAGGACGCCGCAGATTTTGTTGGCGAGGTAGCGGGGGGGATGGTGGGGGTTTGTTGAGAGAAGGGCGATGTAGGTTGGGAATGTGCGGGACTGGAGGGATAGTTGTAGTGCGGCTTTTTGCATGTATCGTTAGCTATTATATTAGGGAAGAAAAAAGGGGTAGGCTGGGGAGGGAAATGGAAACATAATGACGTACCCCTCTTCTCCATTGCCCCATCGCCGATAACTCGTCCCCAGACTTTGACTGCAAAACTTGAAAATCCATCTTCACCCATACACTCGATATGTTTTCCATCTGGTGACTCAGTAAGGCCTTTGCTCCAACTATGTCCATGCCACCAATCGAACGAGCGTTGGAACGGGTAATCCCTCCCCTCATACTCGCTCTCTGCGAAATCTTTCACCAGCATATTCGTCCACGCCTTATTATCGCCTTGTGCCAACCAACTCGGGTCCAAGTACCCAATCACAGCAGCCGTGTATATGAAATACGAATAATGCACGTGATGGTCGTTATAATACGTATTTCCAAAGTCAGCAGCTGCATCTGTGAAGCCAGCAGCTGAGATGACGCCTTTCCAGTTGTCGTCGTAGTAGAGGGGGTGACGTTGGGTGTTTGCGATGTATTTCGCTAGTTCGGTTTTTAGTTTCGTGAGGCCTGCGAGGGCAATGGCTGTGTGGCAGAGTATGTCGTGGATGACCCAAACAATGGTTGCGAATTTTGCAAAGGCTTTTCCCGCAAAGTACATGCTTTCTTGTGGTATCTTGTCCGTCATGGCGCGGCGGAGGTCGCGTTCTGCGACGGCGGCTATGAGGGCGAGGACGTCGGGTGGGTATCGGATCTTTGTGTTGGCGCCCATGGAGGGGATCCAGGGGCTAAGGAAGAGGGAGAGGGGTAGATTGGGCTCGATGAAGGTGAGTTTTTCCGCCCAGATGGCTGTTGCGATGCCTTTTGTTGTTGTGCGGAGGCGGAGAGTGGTGATGTGCGGACGGAGATCTGGGTCTAGGGATGCGATGTGGTGTGGAAGGGCAAACATTAGAAGAGGTGCGGTTCCGATTTTGCTGTAGCGGAACGTGTATGTTCCTTTTCCGTCGGTGACGGTGGCGGTGAGTTTGGCTTCGCAGACAAAGGTTCCACAGGCGCGGTCGTAGAGTGCTTCCCCTTCTACGCCGAGGGGGTTTTTGGCTACTTGGATAGTACCTTTGAAGTTGGGGGGTCCGACGAGCGTGTTGGGATCGAGCCAGGTGAAGCCTGTGGCGTCGTAGGATATGTTGGCAACGGGGTTGACGTACATGACCCAGGACTGCCCGTTCTTTTCGTGCAGGCAGTATTTGAAGGTTCTTCCTAGCATCGTGGGTCCGACCATGTCGACGAAGCCGCGGCCACCGGTTTGTATCATGGGTGTTGCATTACGGTAGCCGGCAGTGATGAAGCTCATGCCCTGGACAACGGGAAAGGTAATCTTCGGTTCTTGCGGCGTAGAGTGAGCGATAAGATTGATGTTGACGGAAAAGGGAAGATGCGTGTCTGTTGTCAGGATAGTCCTTGCGTCAAGTTCCACGGCAGATAGAACGAGGTTTTGCTTGCGTACGGGGTTGATGTAGCCCTTTGCGGGATCTCCTGGCTGAAACACCAAATCTGATTCTTCAACATGGCTCACGCACATGCCCCAAGTCTGCACCTGGCCAATTTCCATCCATCCCTTGCCCCACCAAAGACTGTACGGGTGCGTCCAGATTGGCTGGTTCTGCTTCCCGAGGAATGCATTGGCATAGAAGCTGTTTGTGTGCATAGTCCGCCTGTCGTCATCCTCCACTCCCGTCCTAGGCACTGGGTGATGACGTCCAATGGGTATCTGCGGAAGGATATCGTCGGCCTGTATTGGTGTGAAGATGTTGTCAAGAGGGACCTCGTCTGTATCGTTGCTTTTGGTACTAGAGGAAGTCTTGATGCTTCGACGGTTATCGCGCCATGATCCAAACCATGATTCTTTCCGAGCGAGCTTTGCTAAAGAGACCTGTGGAGACAGAGGTCGAGCATGCGATGGTCCCATAGACGACATCTCGAGGGTAAGCGCACGCGTGAGGCCAAGGTAGACAATGTGAGGTGTATTTGCGTTTGTAGTGAGTAGCAAGGCTGCCAAGGTGTAGTAATAGGTCGTGTATCAATGCAGTTCGCGGTAATAGGCCATGCGAGATAATAGAGGCGGTATGGTGTAGCTTGAGAACTTCAAAGAGTCTGGCACAAAAGGCCGCCATCGTGACCTGGTGTCAAGGTTGGGAAGTGACGGCTGGTTGGTTTGCTAAGTAACGTGAGGTTTGCGCATTTGCGCGTTCAAACAGACGCTTGCCCCATCCCACTCGAAGGAGCGTGCAGTATCATCTAGGCTTCAGGAAAGAAGCGGAAGTAACGTGTTGATTTTTTTAGTAGGCAAAGTGATGAAGAAGGCGCCAGTGAGAAGGTAGGCGGTTGCAATGGGAGGTGTAGCCTTGCTCCTTCCTTGCGCGCTAGTGGTAGCTTCCCTGGAACATTGTTCGCCCATGCATCCACTTTGATTAAGAGGGTGACTCGTACGATAGGTGGGATACCACATACACACCATGCGTACCATACCGATGACTCCGTTACAGGCAGAATACTAACCTTCTGTCTATCCCAATGACTCATTACTACAGCTACGCCGTAACACTACGTCATGCAAGCAGCTATGGCACATCATATATCAAGCCGTCACTTAAGAGAGGGATACCTCGGTAGCTGCCCTCCTTTGTCTTTGATATCGTTCTCCTTCTGTGATCTACCACCCCCCAATATGGACTCCAACTCTCCCGTCTTTGTTACATCATCCGCAACGAATATAACCCTATCCCTACTAACCCCTCTCCTTCTTTCCTCAGTCGCCTCGTCGCTGTCTCGAACACGCCCGCCCTTCGTACCGTTGCTACTGAAAGTGGAGGTCTCAGCCGTGATACGCACGCTATAACTCAAATAGAAAATGACAATGCCATTTCATTTGCTGTTGAGTCAGCGCACCTCTCGGTTATTCACGTGCTGATAGAGTACAAAACCAGACTACAACGTCGAGCTTGTTCACGGCTGTCAGTGGTGTTTAAGAGAGCATCAAAAGACGGAGACACGGAGATACTGGACCGTTTCAGGGAATGGGGATGATGTTTAGATACCATTTGTTTTGGAGGAACAGGTCTTGTGGGGTACGTCGATGTGTATCTTCGGCTTCGGCTTCTGCGATCTGTGTCTTTATTTCCGAATATTGTTCTCTTCCTGGGTTGGTATCGTGCGCATGCTTTCAAGGCAATCACATGAGAACCATCGAGTGTATTGAAAACAGATGTAAACGCATTCTTGTTTCTCCTGACTCAGTCTACTCCAACTCTTCGACCGCAAACCCGCCCACTCGGCAAACCCAAAAATCGTCTCCAGCGCCAGGCTTGGGGTTCCTGCGCACCTCCTGTTCATCACTGAGGGAAGAGGGATCAAGAATGGTTAAAATTTGATGGATAACAAAGAGCTGTCTGCCTGTATCTTGCGACTTAATGTGAGACGAAATTAGGAGAAGCGTATACGTCGTTGCGACTTTAGCGACACATTTGACACTGCGAACCGGCACATGCATCATCGACTGCGGCTGTAGTGGCTGGGTGGCCGAAGTGGCAATTCTAGCACTGCCGCTGCGTGCCAAGATGACTTCTGCTTAGCTCGAAGGCAAAATGAATTGACGCTCGGAAAGAATATTACCCCGAGTCGTCCCGCCTGCAAAGGTAACGTGTCGGCTAGCAATAAATTGCTCTTGTCGTACTGAATCCTCCGGCTGACGACATGGATCGGTAGGTGATCAACAGAGAACTGCAAATCCCGATCGTTGAATGCTTGACGCGTGCTATGAGTGCTTGGATGCCTAGGCCGAGGCTTGAAGCTTTAAATTTGAAAAAGGCACCTTTCCGAACTAGGATAGCATGTAAGTTATGTATCCAGGATCAATCCCAACCGTGAATTTCACCGTCTCTTCCCACCACTACACGTGTTCGACATTCAAGTCTCTAAGCCTCAAGTGGATCCGCGATTCTTGCAATCCGTAAGCAGCAGAAGGAGGTGAAGCGTATCGAGCTTCGATAAGGGTCATGTTGATCTTCATACTGCGCCGTTCCGCGCGCTTCCACGACAGCCAAGATTCACCGAAGATCTAAGCCTCGACCACGTGCGCTCGGAGGAATTTAGCCAAGGAGATTTCAACGGTAGCTCCGCAGCGGATGGTCATCGACAGTCGGCATGTGGGCGAAGTCGCTTCACTATGCCCGTAGCGTGGGCTCCGAGCGAGCAGCAGCGCGCCAAGAGACCCATGCCACGCTGTTCGCAAGCGACTGTGAGATCTAGACTAATGACATGGCGGCTGGGCGATGGCGGTGAAGTGACAGACGTGACAGACAAGAATTGGATACGATAACGGTAGTGTCGCAGTGTCAGATAATAGCACTGTTGAAGATGAGAGCGTACAGACGCTGGGTTAGACTAGCGCGACCCGGCATCTGAGAGAGCCAATCGGATCACAGGAAGGCTTGGCACCCCCCAGGTGTGCCCACAACCGTAGACAGAACCAAAAACACAATCAATAATCAATATCATCACGATCATTACCCATTTCATCAGTATTCCAGATAAGAGTGAATATCTGACAATTAAGAGTCTCACTACCTTTACCTACTTACCAAAATGACCACATTTACCACCCGCGACGCGACCGTGACTTTACGCGACCAGTCAGACTACACCGGATGGATGCTGCAACTACAAGCGCGTTGCGTAGCGCACAATATTTGGGATAAGATTAACCCAAAATCTACCACTCAGCCCCTACGGGAGCCAAAAGACATTAGAATCCCAGTATTCGCTAACTACCAAGCAGCTGCTGGCATTGGAGAACCAGAGCGCCTAAGCGAGCTGTCTAGCAGCGGGCAAAAGGCATTCAAAGAAGATCTTGAGTACTATCGTATGTCGATGGAGCAGTACAAGAGCGACCGACACCGGTACGAAAAGGAGCAATCGAGCTTCCAACATATCATGACCTTGATTCAATCAAGCGTGTCACCACACCTACTACGCACATGCTGTCTCCCAGACAAGACATTACGCGAGTGGATTGCCAACCTACAACTGACCGTTGGGGTTGATGACGAGACTGAGAAAGACCGAGCACGCGAGCGCTATCTTGCGGCCCTACGGCCCATGAGAAGCGCGGCGCAATGGGACACGTGGCTGGCTGAGTATGACCAAGCCGCAACCCACGCGGAGACGTACAATGTCCCCGAGCTATCCCAGCTTAGCACAACAACAAAAGACTTCCTGGCAGCCGTCAATAAAACTGCACCCATATGGGCCACCAATTTTCAGGATAATGGTCGTGGGGCAGTAGGCATGAGCCGGAAGGAGATGATGAAACGGTTCCGAGAGCATATGATGATAAACCATCCCCTTAGATCAGGGAAGCACAAAGCAGCTATGGCAGCTTACGATGGACCATATGGATCAACTCTTGCTGGCGGTGAATACGACCAGGAGCTATCAGGGACGCCTCATAGTTCGAAATCCGCGCCATCGACAAAAATGAAACCGGGGCAGACCCCGCTAACAACGTACCGGGGACGTCCTCGTAAACAACGCCGAACTGGGGCAGACCCCAATACCAACGTACAAGCTGGAAGCACAAAGTCCACGCTTAAGAGATCTTCAGAACAAGACTCTTTCACCACTGCTGGAGTACAATGCCAAGCATGTGGACAACATCATAGCATCAGAACATGCTTTTATCTCTACCCAGAGACTGCCCCAGAATGGTGGCAACCTAATGAGACAATAAGCGAGCTCATTAAGTTCAGACGCATACATGATTCATCGTTTCAAGGGCTAATCCGCGGACAAAGCAGACCCCGTACTCGCACACCAGTGCTGAAGCAATCACATACACCGACCCCAGATCTCTCTCAGTCACCAATCGAATGACTAGAAGGCCGAAAGATTACGGACGTAGACGCCGCGCTCACTACCATCGCACGGAGTGGGACAGCCGAGCACACGTACCCTCTCGCACGATCATTCATTCTCGATTCAGGAGCGACGTGCCACATCACAAACAATCCAGATCGGATATACAACTACCGCCCGTCATCATTAGGAGACTACATATGGGCTGGTAGTATAAAGATTTGGATACGGGGATACGGGACCACAGACATCACGCTGCAACATCAGCATGGGACAACAAAGCTAGTGCTGCGAGATGTGGCAATCTGCCCAGAGATCGTATGCAATCTAGTGTCCTTCCGACTGCTACGGCAGAGAGGAATCTGGTGGGATACCAAATCAAACCCAACTAACCTACGAGGACCAGACGATCAAGTTATTGGCAACCTCTCAGAAACCTTTGGCCAGTGGGTATTAGAGTACAGTCCTCTACCCCAGGCATTTGTCCATACAAGAGCCATCACAACACGCACGCAGAGAGGACCAAAGAAGGCTTCAGCGATGCTATGGCACAAGAGACTCGGCCACCCAGGACCAGCAGCAATCGAGCATCTCGTGCAGCAGTCTGAGGGGGT